TCAGGCTGCAGGTGTTTGTGTTGGAGCGGGGCGGGGGCTGTACACAGGAGACACTGGGGACGCAGCCTCCTGAACAACATCCTTCCTCTAACTGAATGTACATGAACACATTAGAGGTGCGTGGATGGGCTACTTTTTCATCCGCAACCACATCGCAAAACTCATCATCAGCCCGCTATCCATTTGCAACCACAATTTTTGACCAGTTTTCAAAACCGCGCCCGCCCGCCATCCGCTCGGTCTCCTCCCAGTTGCTCCGAGTTCAGAGTTTTTTATTTGAGTAGTGAAACCACCACCCGCCCGAATTTAATTAAAATATTATTTTTCGTCACGTCATCTGCCCACACAAAAGTATCTACACACATTATAAGGGACAAAAGTGGTGCGTCACATAATATGAGCGTGTACCAGTCTGGACACAGACCTCCTGTAGCCCCTGGTCTGTGGACAGAGTGGTGCATGCTCATATATGTAAAAAAAATATAAATTATACACAAGTGAATATGAAATAAACAACGGGACACAAACAATGAGACTGCAAATATGAAAACACACAACCCAGATGTTACAGATGAGGTGACAGGTCCATTTCCTCATTTAATCCTGGACAGGTTAATTCATGGATCCAGTAAAACTCAAAATGTAAAAGGTTCTTAAGTCCATCTCCTCCTCTAAGGGTCTGTGGTACTTGCTCAGTCACCGTGTGTGTGTGTGTGTGTGTGCGCGTGTGTGTGTGTGCATTCCATTTGTTAAGACTCAGTGTTGAGATGGTAGACATCTCATTGTTTGTGTTGTGTTCCAGAGGATTCAGACGAGGTTCGCTGGATCAGATCTTCAGCTGGGGCCTGCAGACCACACTGGGCACTGCTCCCCCTCCTCTCAGTGCTTCTGCTGTGGAGAACACTCTGACCTCCTACACCCTAACGACAGCACCCACGGGCCCCACCAGAGAGGACACACACCCATGAAGTACACATCAGAGGAGGGAACGTCGGCAGACACTTGGACCCCCTGTGTGGGCCCTTCGGTGGGGTCCATGAGAGGAGAGGTGAGGCTGCTCCCTGCGCTGTGGGGGACACTTTGACCCTACCACAACTTGATGTACACTCCACCCACATCAGCTCAAATGAACTCTAAAGAGCGATAACTTTGACACTTTGACCCCACCCTCACCCATAACCCCACCCATAACTGCACCCGTGAAGAACACATGAGAGGAGAGAGCCGCCTACTCCCTCTGGTGTGTGTGCTGCTTGCGGGTACACTTTGACCCCTCCTGCACCTCTCTACATAGCTGCTCCCGTGACCTCCATATACGAGATGGGCATGTTTGACCTTTGACTTTCACCCCACCCTCCTCTGCTACAGCAGCACCCATGAACTTTACGTGAGAGGAGAGAACGGTCTGATACCTCTGAACCTCGTACTGCTCCTGGGGACACGTTGACCCCAAATTGATCCCACTGCTCCATTCCACCTTCTCATCCACAGTGTTTCTAATCGTACAGGAGCCCTCTACTGCTGCTAATGCTTTACCTCGGGACATTTGGAACCCACGTGGACTCTACACGAGCAGAGACCTCATTGTTTTGAAAAGATTGTATTGCGATGTCTAGTCTACACACTATTGCACATGTGTGGGGGCTTCTGGGTAATGTAGTGCTCTGTGAACTATGTGAATTATGAGCCATGTCAGTGAAGCACATCTGTCTTTTCACTGTGTGTTTGCATTTTGCACAAATTGTCAATGTGATTTTTTATTTTATTTTTTTCTTATCAAATGAACTGAATGAGATGTTTGGATCATTAAAACTTTTTATCTAACCGCTCCAGATTCACTGTAACTATAACTATGTGAAATCTATGATGAGTTGAGTAGTATATGAATAGTCTTGTCACAATACGAACATTTACTAAGCAACAGACTCAATACTGATTCTTTTTTTTTTTAGAATGTGATTTTCTGCAGTAGGTTCCATAGTGTCCATGTGTGTATACAATATTTCCCGCACTATAGGGGCTCTGGATAATAAGGTGCACTGTCATTGAATGGTCTATTTTTGTGCGTTTTTCACATATAAACTGCACCGGACTATAAGGCGCATTAAACCAAACACAACAGTTAGATAAGTCAGTCAAACTTTATTCAATGTGTTCACAATAACTCTCAACTTTGTTCAATTGTAACACGTAAAAAAAAATATTGTCTGAGATGCTAAATTGTTCGTGTATTCACAATAAGTCATAATAGTTGAAACAGTTGGGTGATTCCTGCGTCCACACGTCCACATCCCTCTGTCATTCTCCAAGTCAGTGTGGTTACTGTTCCCTGGAGTTCAGTTCAGTGATGATTCTGGTCTTGGTGAAGCTCGGATCACAGTTGATCCTGATCCTTAACCCGGGCGTCCACGATCCGTTGGCAGATTGTGGCGTAAGTGGCTCGGCGCTGTCTCTCTGTCTTGGTGAATGTGTGTTCTCCTTCTCTCATCCACTGCTCCCACGCAGCTCACACTTTCACTTTAGAACAGCCTTGAGTTTAAAGTGGGCGTTGTGAGCGTGTCTCTGGACAGGAGCATTTTGATATTAAAAGGAATCACAGTCTGTATTACTCCTGATGCTCCTGACTACGGGAGCCGTGATGCTGCAAGTGGAGCGGCTTTGTACTTTACTAAAGTCGTACTAAGACAAACCAATAAATTCATAGATAAAACGCTCTGGATTATAAGGCGCGCACTCATTTTTTGATGAAATTAAATTAAATTACAGTGCAGAAAATACGGTACTAGTCTATGTGCTCTTTTATTTGTTCTGATACATCTTAACATTATTCTGAACTATTCAGGAAAGATCCATTTCTGTCCTGTGAATGGGACCTTTTTTTTTTTTTTTTTAATGCTTTTAACAATGTAGTCTGTAGTCAGCCTACACAGAGTGGACCAGGCAGCCTCTTAACGAAACAACCTTCTAACTGGAGACACCAAAATCATAACTAAAACTAAAACAACTTTTGGTTCTTGCTAAAGAGTTTTGTGAATAATCATCAGCACAGTTGTAATGAGTAAAAAAGGAATCACTGGTTTGTTCACATTTCTTATCTGGGGCATGACTTTTGTTTTTGAAAATCACACTTTCGTTAGAGAATGTCGTCCACATTAGAGAGAAGAGCAGGTCCCAGCTCTCACGTGGAGTTTGCTGTAACTGCACAGATTTGTGGACCTTGTTTGTAATGTAATGTCATTACAGAGTCTATCCACATGAAACAAAAACTGACACAAAGTTCAGTGGTGGTGCCATTATTCAACCCCAAAGATGTTATTTTGAAGTTGGTTTAAAGGGCTTAAAGCTGTACTTAATTTACTATATCAATCCCAAACCAAATGATAAGGTTCAGTGTTTGTGAATCAGAAGTTTATGCCTGGGATCCAAAACACACAATAGTTAAAAGTCTGGTCAGTTGTGATTGACATGTGGATTAGAGCAATACATGTTTTTTTATCTTAAATTAATTAATTCATTAATTTAAAACAAGGACAGTGCAGAGAAAACATTAAAAGCTGAAGAAAAACTAAACTGAAGAAGCAGCTTGGATGAACTACAAAACATATTTGACCAAAATAAACTTTTGTCCAGTTGACAAATTGAATTTCTCCATTCACCATGGATTCTACCTGGACGACTGAGGGATTCGACACATCTCAGAGAGAAAAGACACTCTGTGCCAGATTTAACTACAAACTCCTTTCCAGCTGCCATCCTTGGGCAGATACAAAACACATTAAAGAAACTATTTACATCAGACCAACTCTAAGAATATTTCATGAGTAACAGTGTCTCCTTAAAATAACCACCATCCAATTCATCATTCAAATAATCTAAATTCATTCATTCTAATTTCCATAATACTTCAATTCATAATACAAAATACTCAAATTCAGTGTCATCAAAATCCTCTAAAATCTACATTTCCCAAATTCTTCAGTATTATTATCCTCTAAATATAATTCATCAACAACACAACCATCAAGTCAAACACACAAGGTTTACATGTAGACAACACATCCACAGTACTGTCAGTCAGAATGTTGAAGTGTTTGAAGAAGCCTGATGTTGACACGCTGCTGCTCTGAAGACATCATTTTAGTTTTAAGTGTGGGAGTTAGAGCAAGTTTAAGTTCAGCTGGAAGCATGTTCCAGTTTTTCGCTGCTGTGTATGAAAAAGCCAACTGTCCCAAAGTCCCATCACAGAACGTTTAAAGGTAACGGTCAGATCAGAACTTAGAGATGAGCGAGATGTTCTGCTCATCAGCTCTGATCTTAACTGGAAGAAGCGTCTTAAAGGAGAAGGAGAAGAGCAGCATCTCAGAAAAAATATATACATATATTGTCAGTTTAACAGGCTGTATCTGTTCACTGTTACAATGATAAGTTAAAGATTTTTTATCAAAAACGTTGAGGGCTTGCTTAAAGAAAGTCCCTTTTTTGTGATCAACAGATTAAACAATAATTTAAGTGAGAAAAAATCATGGCCTGAAGAAAAGCCTTTGATGCCTGAGTGTTTAGGGAGTTTTGAATATGTCTGAAGTTTGCAGGATTAAATTTTATTACTTTACTTAGATGTTTAATTTATTTATGAGCTGAATCTGTATAGGAAAAAATAAAGGAAAAAAAAAATCACAGGGGACTGAAAAACACAGATGATTTCTACAGACTCAATGAGCGAAGCAAAGTCATTTTAAATGTGAATCATAGGTGACCAATAAACTCCTTCGTTTCACATTTGTGACAAAAAAAAAAATCCAAATCTGATTGGATGATGACGTTTAGTTGGACTCAAGGAGCAGTGGTGGGTCGAGGGGACCAGACTGATATCAATCTGTATAAAAATGCACAGATAACAGTCGGAATTTGACAGACAACTTAAGTATAAAAAATGTCTTCTAAAACCAGACCAGTAAATCACCTAGAATTTGAAATAACAAGTATTATAGACAAATACTACAATAGGAATGGAACACATTAGTGGGACTGTTCAGAGTATGTTTGTAGAGAGCTGGACTACACGTTTAGCAGCTTTTACATAGAATAAGACCAAACGGAGACACAGGGAGGGCATCTGGCACACAGGAACATTTCAGAACATGTTTGAAGAAGTCTGAACTACAGGGTGAGCAGGTTTAAGTGTCAGTTGTTGTGGGTCAGACTATCACAGATGTGGAATGTGTGGGTGAGATGATGGACACAGGAAGCGCGCTATCTCCTGACCTTTATCTGAGTCCCCCCGCCCCCCATGTGCTCATGTAAAAAAACACTGCACTGCTCATCCCAAAGTACTGCGGGGCTTTCACATGTTAAACACAGCCATCCAGAGGGGGGCGCTCCGCCGGCATTAACATTCTGTCCAGGGAATAATGCATGAGTGACTGACAGCGGGAGGGCGCACTGGCCAATACGCATCCAAGTAAAAGACCCTGTGCAAATGCTACGAGGCCGTTATGGTGAACACGGACCTGTTTCTGTTTCTCCTCTGTGACGTAGAGCAGCTGCACTGCTCTGTTCTCTAACTGTTCAACAATACAAAAGGCTACAACGTTTATCAAGACAATGATTTTACATTATTACATCCGCAGAGCTGAAAAGTAATCAGCCTAACGTGCGCACTAGAGGCTCTCTCTCTCTCTCTATCTCTCTGTCTCTATCTCTCTGTCTCTCTCTCTCTCTCTATGTGTCTCTCTGTCTCTCTCTCTCTCTCTCTCTGTCTCTCTCTCTCTCTCTCTCTCTCTCTCTCTCTCTCTGTCTCTCTCTGTGTCTCTCTCTGTCTCTCTCTCTCTCTCTGTCTCTCTCTCTCTCTGTCTCTCTCTCTCTCTCTCTCTCTCTCTCTCTCTGTCTCTCTCTCTCTCTCTCTCTCTCTCTGTCTCTCTCTCTCTCTCTCTCTCTCTCTCTCTCTCTCTCTCTCTCTCTGTCTCTCTGTCTCTCTCTCTCTCTCTCTCTCTCTGTCTCTCTCTCTCTCTCGTCTCTCTCTCTCTCTCTCTCTCTGTCTCTCTCTCTCTCTCTCTCTCTCTCTCTCTCTCTCATCTCTCTGTCTCTCTCTCTCTCTCTCTCTCTCTCTCTCTGTCTCTCTCTCTCTCTCTGTCTCTCTCTCTGTCTCTCTCTCTCTCTCTGTCTCTCTCTGTCTCTCTCTCTCTCTCTCTCTCTCTCTCTGTCTCTCTCTCTCTCTCTCTCTGTCTCTCTCTCTCTCTCTCTCTGTCTCTCTCTCTGTCTCTCTCTCTCTCTCTCTCTCTCTCTCTCTCTCTCTCTCTCTCTCTCTCTGTCTCTCTCTCTCTCTGTCTCTCTCTCTCTCTCTCTCTCTCTCTCTCTCTCTCTCTCTCTCTCTCTCTCTCTCTCTCTGTCTCTATCTCTCTCTCCCTCCTCTCTCTCTCTCTCTCTCTCTCTCTCTCTCTCTCTCTCTCTGTCTCTCTCTCTTCTCTCTCTCTCTCTGTCTCTCTCTCTCTCTCTCTCTGTCTCTCTCTCTCTGTCTCTCTCTCTCTGTCTCTCTCTCTCTGTCTCTCTCTCTCTCTCTCTGTCTCTCTCTCTCTCTGTCTCTCTCTCTCTCTGTCTCTCTCTCTCTCTCTGTCTCTCTCTCTCTGTCTCTCTCTCTCTCTCTCTCTCTGTCTCTCTCTGTCTCTCTCTCTCTCTCTCTCTCTCTCTCTCTCTCTGTGTCTCTCTCTCTCTCTGTCTCTCTCTGTCTCTCTCTCTCTCTCTCTCTCTCTCTCTGTCTCTCTCTCTCTCTCTCTCTGTCTCTCTCTCTCTGTCTCTCTCTCTGTCTCTCTCTCTCTCTGTCTCTCTCTCTCTGTCTCTCTCTCTCTCTCTCTCTCTCTCTCTCTCTGTCTCTCTCTCTCTCTCTCTCTATGTGTCTCTCTCTGTCTCTCTCTCTGTCTCTCTCTCTCTGTCTCTCTCTCTCTCTGTCTCTCTGTCTCTGTCTCTCTGTGTCTCTAGGAGCATATTTTTACTCTTACTTGAGTAGGACGAGTACTTGAGTAATAGATGTATAATATTATAAAACAATTGTACAGTACATTGATATGAGTACAGTGCAGTGTTGGGAGTATTACAAAAGTTATGAATTACAGTAATATAGTTCATATTTTTTCTGTTCCTGTTTATTTTATTTATTTATTTTTTTTGGACCGGAGTAGTCCCGGGGCCTCTCCAGGGGAGCTCTGTGGGCAGGGCTTGTGCCATTGGAGCACCGCGCGGCCCGCGGCTCGTCGTCTTCACCAGGCCCGTACGTGCGCGCTCCCTCTTTCCCACACACCGTACGTGCGCGCTCCCTCTCTCCCACTGCTCCCTGCAGTTCTATGAATGTGGTCATGTGCACTGATGGAACTAAACCTGACTGGCACTAAACATGCACACTATGTGTTGAGGACCATAAGGGAAAGTTGGTTTACAACAGTCAGAGTCCCAGAGGAGGCGCAGAAGTTAAACTCAATATATCGTTTTTTCTTGTTTGTTTTGGCTCATTTAAAGCCTAAATTCCCTTGAGCAGGTGACAAAAGTAGTACTAAGTAAAAAACAAACAAAAAAACACGCGCACGGCTGTCCTCGCGGTCACGGCAGAGGGCGCGCACGCTCACTCCGTTGTTGTTGGAGCGCATGCGCACAGTGGAAACACACTGGGACTGTCATATGACCGGTCACGTGATTGTCAGGAGGCAGACACAACACAGCTCTAGACTTTGGGATTTAACGCCGTTAAAACTTTTTTATTATGATATTGTGAAGAAACAGACCTGAGCAGAGCCGTGCGCACCGGGACCAGGAACGAACCGGGGCTCCAGGTACCGTCTATAACTCATAACATAACATAAACATGACATAAAACATGAGGAGTGGAACAGCACATCTTCGTCTTCTTTTCTCTTTCTCTTTTCACACGAAGCCTCGTGTTTATGCACGAAACCTACGACGCACATCACGCAGCAGGTTTGCAGCAGAAGGATCGGGTTAAAAATATCAGAGCTGCTCTTGGGTTTTGGTTTGGACATAGTCAAAGATTGGACGTTTCATTCTGTTAACTGGATATATTGTATATAGCGCTTTTCTATTGTAAGACTTTACATCAAGGAGCCACTCATGCATTCACACACACTGTCACACACCAGTGTACACAGACACTGGGGGACACTTAAGTATCCTGCCCAAGGGCACAACATCAGCATACATCTGTGGGAGCTAGAATGAATCACACTGCAGACCTGTGGGCCAGTGAATCTGCTCTACCAACATTGTTTTTTTTGTTTGTTTGTTTTTTAAATGTGGAGAGTGGGACCAACCTCCAGATGAATGAACACTCTACCAACTGAGCTACAGACGCCCACAGTGAAGACAGGTCAGCAGCACTCATCCAGACTGCGTTTAGGAGCTCTGATCTGTTTTCATTTGTTTCCTTACATCATTTGACTTGTAGGTTCGTTGGGTTGAGTGGAGGGTGCTAAAACTTCTTCACTCAAAAGCTTTTGTCCATTTGACAGAATAAAATGTTTTGCTGTGGAACCTACCTGGACACCTGAGGGATTACACAGATGTTTGGTCATGGTGATTCCCAGTCTGGTTTGGCCCGTGCACCTCTGCACTTTTAGGCTGCGGTTTGTGTACCTGATAACTAACAGAAACATACATTGCTAAAGAGCACAAAGTCATCAGTGTGTATCTGCAGATAAAGCCTCATCTGATAGGAGGGGATGTGAAGGATATGCCAAAAACAATTTCCTTGTTTAAATGTTTAACTTAAACATTTGAGAGAGACTTAAGAGGTGTGCAGAACAAAGTCATCCTCTTCTGCTGAAAGTTCACACTTGACTGTGATTGGCTAAACCAACCTGTCACTCTCTCAGAGCTCTCTGAAGCTGACCAACAGGAGGAGTGGGTGGGAGTAATGTCTGAGCTGCACGGAGCTGCGTTGAGCTCAGCAGTGACCACCCACCCCTGGTTCCTGAAGTACATTTCTCACGCATTTTTCCCATAGACTTTCAAGGGGAAAAAAATATAATAAAAGTGTGAAAGCTCCAGGCTGATCAGCTCTGTGAAACTACTGACCATAAAACCTGTTTTATTTAGGTTAGTTAAGTTTAAGTTAGTTTCTGAAACTTAATAAAAGATGATGAAATGAAAGTTATGACAGCATTTCACCAAATTATGCATTTTAAATGTGCTTTTTGTGTGTAGGTGACAGGAGCTCAGTTGGTGGACCGACCAACTCTGTACCAACTGAGCTCCAGTCGCTCTAAGTGAAGAGAGTTGGTAGAGCGTTTGTCCACTGATCTGAATCCCGCTCCCACAGATAAAATGCTGTTGTAGCGTCTTTGGGCGAGACACTTAAGCCACCTCGTCCCCAGTGTCTGTGCACACTGATGTGTGTGTGTGTGTGTGTGTGAGTGAGTGAATGGGTGAGTGCTTCTTTGTTGTAAAGCACTTTGAGTGCCTTGAAGGTGGCAAAGTGCCCTGCCCCACATATTTATGTGTTTCAATGTTGTGTTATAGTGGCGCCCCCTGTGGGGTTGTGTGTGCCATGGCGTCTGCCGTAGAGCGCACAGATGAACTGGTCAGAGAGTACCTCATCTACAGAGGCTTCACCAACGCACTCAAGCACCTGGACAGTGACCTGAAGGTTGACCGGGACAAGGGCTTCAGGGTGAGTCTGATGCCCTACCACACAAATGCCAACAAACTGCAAATGAAATTTGGGCTTTCTGTGTGGAGTTTACATGTTTCTCCTTGTGTTTGGGGGGCTCATTCTGTTTTCTGTTTGGATAACCAAAAAACAAACAAACAGAAAATTATAGGGCTGTTGTTTTTGTATTTAAGAATACATCATCATTACAGTTGTTATCAGAGAAAGCTGGATTTATTTTTATTTATTTATTTGAGACAGGGACAGCACACAATTTTTGCATTAACCTAAATAGGAGAGATGGATTGTAAATCAGGTTGTAGCACCAGTGCTAATTTCCACCTGTAGTCCCTGGGCAGGTTCATTGATTGATTGTATTTAACTGACCTTGACTATCAACTGGTCTTGGAGACCTGGAGCATGTTTTGGGTTGATGGGGGAAACCGGAGCGCCCGGAGGAAACCCATCCAGACACGGGGAGAAACATGCAAACTCCACACAGAAAGGCCCGGGTGACCCGGAACCTTCGTGCTGTGAGGCATGTGTGCTTGCCACTCAGCCACTGTGCCGCCAATATGTTTTGAACATATTTACCTTGTATCTGAGAATACAGTTAGATCATGTTTATGGACTTTAAAAACAAACTCATACAAGCAGTCTCTTTAAAATAAAAAGTCCTAGCTTATTTAGATCATACCCCTCTCTTACCCAGACAGCAGAGGCTGCACTAGCACTGATTCATGACTGGGCACTGGTAGTGACCTTTCAGATCAGAGAGGACTTTTTACTTTCATTGTTAACTGGTTTTGTTCATGTACATTAAAATAGAAAAGTACTCAGCAGTACACTGCATGCACTCACCAGTGCGTTGTGTGTGTAGGTGGACCGTATCATGGAGCACCTGCAGCAGCTGGTGCAGAGCTTCGACCTGGCCGGGCTGCGGGAGTACTGGGCCTACCTGGAGAAACGGTTGTTCAGTCGCCTGGAGGATGCGTACCGCTCGACTGTGAACAAGCTCCGCACCAGCCTGTACCGCTACTACGTCATCAGCACAGTGCAGGTATTTTCAAAAAGCAGAATTATGTTTTTGGACTGAAATCATCATAATCATATCATGGATTTGAGTTACTGCTAGCTCTTTAGAGTCTGTCATAGCTTTTAAACTCTTTACATTATTTATTTTTTGTCAATGGGAAAAAAATATGGGAAATGTACTTCCATGAAAGCAGTGGCAGATGGAGCTGATGGCTTCTGTAAATGTCTCATGTTATTAAGCGAGGCAGAAGTGGCCATACCTCCTGTCAAAACCTGATCTTGACAGATCTCTGAAGCTCTGGGGCGTCAACGGACTGCAAAAACATTGTGCCCAAGACACTCTATCAGCTTTATCAAAACTACTGTAGTACAAGTGACTTGAACATCTGGAAAGGCGCTGCATAAGACCAGTGCATTCAGCGGTGGGTAGTACTCAGTTAGTTGCTTCTGTAACTAAAATACATTGTATTTTTCAAATTTCTTTTCCAGCAGCACACTTTTAAACCTACTTCTATTATTAGCAGTATTTTTATTGACATAACAGTACTTTTACATGAGAAAAAGTTGACATTCCTCTTCCCACTGTGAGTAAGTCTACAAGTGACAAAAGCTTTATGTGACAATATGAAATGATTTGAACATTTGTGTTTCTTTCACCCGGCTCTCACTCGGCTCTCACCCGGCTCTCTTTTGGCTGTGCGTTTTTAGAAGGGGAACCTGGACAAGACCCATGAGTTCTTCATGAAGCAGGGGGCGGAGCTGCAGGGTCAAATAGAGTGGCGTGATTGGTTCGTGCTGCCGTTTCTCCAGTCCCCTGAGCAGAACCCGCTCTTTGCTCCGTACTTCTCTCGACAGTGGGCTGATACCTTCCTGGTGTCGCTGCACAACTTCCTGTCCGTGCTCTTCCAGTGTATGCATATCCTTCCACCAGGTGTACAGCCAGGACTCATTTTGTAGTTTCTATTTTATCCTTTTAGGTATCTCATAGAAGCTATTGTCCCTCACATCAGTTGTGCAAGTTCAACTTTATGCTGCCTGTTTTTAAATTAAATGAATCTCAGCAAGTCTAGCTCAGATTTGTAAAATCAAAACAAGAGAGTACTGTTCAAATTTCTCCAAAATAGTGACTGAAATACTCATTTGTTGGAAAGGAATGTATCATAGAATTTTATGTCTAACATATTAATGGTCCAACTACATATCTCCAGGTATAAGTAATATAATATACACAACACAAGCATAGAAAGTCAAATAGTCCTCTAGTTCTTATGTGTGGGAGTCTGAATCATGTAAGAGTACTGTAATGTGAAAGTAATCTGACTGCAGTTCCTCCTCCCTCTGTTGTTGTATTAGTGTGTCCGTGCTGTGTGTGGGCATGTGTGACTGCGGGGATTAAGATGTTGTATTTTAGATCAATAATGTGGTTTAAGACTCAGATATGGTTTAAATAGGTTAAGGTTAGAATTTAGGTTAAGGTTAGAGATTAGGTTAAAGTTAGGGTTTAGGTTTAGGTTAGAGTTTAGGTTAGGTTAAGGTTAGACAAATAGGGACTATGTTTAAGGTCAAGACCGTGCGTGTGTGTTCTTAACTCCGCCCACCTCAGCCCGCCCTGCTGAGCTTTGACGCTGAGGTGCAGAGGATGACCAGTGTGAGCGAGGAGAACGAGCAGCTGCGGCAGATGGTGAGCCAGGCACTGAGGGCACACTGTCCTCCCTCTAACTTTATTTCTTATATATTTCTATTGACTTTGAATATTTCTTACAGATAAATCACTTTGAGCACACATTCACACATGTGGCGATGGAGACAGGACAAAGTTTGAGCTCTTCTGAATAGTTTTAGAATGGTCTTCATCTAGATCAAAATAAGTATATACCACATTGTCATACAGAAAGCTACCATTCTTTTCTTGAAATTAACATTCTGTTGTCACAGAAAATATGGTATCAAAGTCAGTATTGAGTATTGCATAGTGTTGTGTCAAAACCATGATGCTCATGTCCAGAAGAGCAGCTCAGAACACAAGAATACCTCAACATAATCATTACTGAAACATGAAAGAAGGATCTGCATTATAACACTTGTTTTTCTGTGTTTACTGAATGAAGGGAGCCATTTTGCTCTTTCAGCATCCCCCTCTGACCATCACCCTTGACTCCTGGTTTAAAGTGTTCGTGTAACTTTTGTTCTGATGCATTGATTATATTCAGATAAAATGTTTGAACTGTTACATTTGAATTAATCTTAAAGAGAATCTCTGGACAAGTAGTTTGGTTAGATTCACACACACTGTTGTATTGCCTTCAGGACCGTGAGCTCTAATGCTGTGGCTGTGTGGGTGTCTTGCAGCTCTTTGCTCTGCAGATGGAGTCCCGGGAGCAGGAGGAGCCAGGCCTGGTCCAGCACAAGCTGCCTGCATACGTCCAGAATACAGACCGTCTGGGAGACACTGAGCTGTGAGTCCTCTGTCTGTCCTACATCTGTTCCACTGTAAACATGTTCATAAACCCACATGTTGTTGACAGGGAGCTGGTGTGGAGCCAGCGCACACCCCACACCACCCCTCCCTCCAGAAACTTCTTCTCCACGTTCCTGCCCCAGGGCCGAAGGCCCCCAGGACGGCCACACAGCTCTGCTATAGCAGCGTCCCCCAGCCAGGCCGCTGTGGGCCGCAAGGAGCCACTGACCAGCCAGGTGAGAGCTGGTCCTCTGAGGAAGGGTCCAGAGACAGGCAGGGGGCAAAAGAGAACTTAAAGGAAAAAATACTGGATAAATATTGCAACAATTGTATGTATTTATGATTCAATTTGTGAAACATCCTTGTCTGGGGCGTACTGGTAACTAGAGGTTTCCCTCGTCCGATCTGGAACACTCAAACTGCTGTTTCCTCTGGTGAAGTGGGACATGGTTGAGGGACTCATTCTTCAGTGATGTATTACAAATGTAACCACCACAGAAAGTGCACCTGAGGAAGGCTCACCCTGACACAAGTGTTGTTACTGGTTAAGTCCAGCACCTTAGTTTAAAAGTGCATTGTGTAACCTTTCTGGTGGAGGGTCCATTAAAATGCTTTTCTCCATGGGGATGTTATTGCTTTATCTGTATTAAACCTTTCTATATTCATAGAGCCCAAACCAGACCAAGTTACAGGTCAGATCTGTGGAGAGGCGACCCCGCTCACTGTCAGAATGCCTGTTTTTCTAGGTATTTTAGAGCTATAAAATATAATAAGTGTAATCTACAGCTGTATAATGTTATACTGTGGAACATTCCAGGCAGAACAATGACATATCCATAGAAACAAGCAAATGATGGGCCCTCCACCAGAAAAGTTACACAGTGCACCTTTAACGTTTACATTTCTTAAGCCTGTGGTTTGACCTGGCTGACTCCAGCCATCACACTCTGAAATCAGAACCTGTGATCTCCCAGTTGCGTGGAACATAGAACAATCCACAGGGTCAGCAGGTTACCATGGATACACAGGGGCGTTTATCATTACTTAAAGGTGCACTATGTAACCTTTCTGGTGGAGGGTCCATCACCTTCTTGTCTTCATAGAGGTGTTATTGTTTTTTCCTACAACATTAAAACTTCTCTATCCCTGTGAAAACAAGTAAGTGACTCTATTAGGTAAAGCTCAGGTCAGATCTGTGGAGAAGCAAACATCAAAATGGAGACTAGTAGGTGGCATACCCCATTCGGAAAAGTTTACGCAGTGCACCTTTAAATAAGTGCCACCCTGACACGTGTCATTTTGTGCAGAAATCAAAGGAGTGTGGTGCTGTTAAAGAGGTGAAGCAGACGAGCTCCACAGATGCTCCGTCCTCCCAGGCTCCTGCCCAGAGTTCAGGGCCCCTCAGCCAGGCCAGCACCCAGCCCGCCGTTCAGCCCACCGCTCAGCTCACCACCCAGACCACCACCCTGACCACCACCACCCAGACCACCACCCAGAGGCACCGCAGGGTCCAGGAGCATGAGAAGGAGAGGAAGGAGCTGTTCACCAAAGCAGCTCCACAGGTACACCCACAGACTGTATACAGAAGTAGACTAAGAGAGTGTGACGTCACCCGTAGTGTCAAATGAAGCTTAGTGTTGCCAGATTGGGTTTTGGTTTTGTCACAGAAAACATTTGATCTTTGAATAAACGTATCTAATCCATTGTTGGGCCTTTTAGAAACATTGCCAGGATTGAGAAAACATGTTATATAAAACCTTTGGTAAAATGTAGAACAGTGTTTTCTTCATGCATTAAAATTAATATCATCAATGGTCAGCTATATCCTCAGCTACTGGCAAACGTAGCGGACATCCATTCATTTGTGCACAGGCCGGAGCACCTCCATAAGACTGGACAGGAGTGAAAGTCCCATATGGTTCCTTGCTTTATTGTGTTATTGCATTGATTGGTGTGAAAATAAAAAATGCCCAGACTTGTTGAAAGTCTCCCAAATATTATCTGCCCGCCTAAGGCTTCCCCTCTTCACGCGACGTAGTCAAAAGAAGTCCAATTAGACGGGCACCCGCCCAGTATGGCAACACTGATGAAGCTCACGTGGCTGCCTGTTACAGGGGAGAATTTGGAACCGAGTTCCATATTAGGAATAGGAATTTATAATTTACAAAACAGGATCATGTAGAGTGGGTTAATATGAACATTTTAAGACCAAAATGACAAGGCTCACAGCAGCAGGTACAGCAGGAGGGACAATGGTTTTCAATGTTTTCAAGTCAATTGGAGCCAAAGTCGATGGAGTATTATTTATGTATTAACCAGGACACCGTTTTTACAGTTGTAAAAGTTTGTGTTTTTTGTGCTTTTGTTAACATTAGTGTGTGTGTGTGTGTGTGTGCGTGTGTGTGTGTGAGACTGCAGGAGCAGGGTCACAGAAGCAGGTGGACAGTACAGAGCATCAAAAGGCAAAATAACACAACGACTATTCATATTTTAACAGTCAGATATATCCAAACTTTTCAATATTATTTATTACAAATTTTTAAGACTAGACATGGGCAGTAGATAAAGTACAAATACAAAAAAGCCCTGTTATTAAAGTATTAAAGGGAAAATGATAAGGTTAATATACACTTTATATTGTCTCCGTAGGAAAATATATCCCTGTATTTGACTCCTCCTTCAGTGTTACTGGAGAATCTCCTCAGGAGCAGAGGCTGCAGTGCTGTGATCTTGTTACTAGGCTTGGTCAGGACTGGAGGGTTTGATCTTTTGTGTATGTTTTTGGGTTGAAATTGTCCTGCTCCCAACTAATTTGTCTGAGTTTTTGAGTCGAATTCTCCACTCACAATATGTCTGCTGGAACTGGACAGTCTTTTCTACAGGTGATCGTGGCAACACTCTCTAGTCACTTTTGACGGCTCATTTACCAGACCTGATCTGTCATCAGATAACACGTGTCCTCTGATCTCCACAGACCCCAGAGAAGAAGGGGGGCAGTGAGCCGGACAGTCCCCCTCAGGAGCCCAGCCGAGGGGCAGCACAGGGAGGAGGAGGAGGGGGTGTGGCTTTGGAGCAGCCCTTCATCAAACTGAGCCAAGAGGAGTATGGAGAGCACCACTCCTCCATCATGCACTGCAGGTATCGTCATAACAACAGCAGAACTCACAATACTATGGCTGTCTCATTGTAATGTACAAACCACTATGCCGCAATGTTTGTTTTCAGTGGAATTTTAGTAATGATTTTGAGAAGGAAGATTGAATTTTAATGAGTGATGGTCCGATATAAATTTGATCTGCTGATATGGATATGTCTGTGGTCGATAACTAATATCTGCCAATATCTATATTCTAAATTCTACAATTTGAAGTTGAGTTTTTTACTTTAATACCCCCTACAAAAAATAACAACAAAATCCCCTGATATGAGCCATATTCAACCAAAATTCTACCATTCTGGCGCCGCTACTGGTGCATCCCTACAGCGGGGGGCTCCGGAGCTGTTTTAATGTACCAATATAAAGGCTAATATATTATCTTTTTCCCACACTCCTCTTTGCTGCCTGAATGAGGAAAAGATTAAAATGCCACAGTGGTCACAAACTGATTAAGATGCCATCACCATATATGTACTTGTCCCACTCCAGCCCCCAGTGACCAAGTACAGTCCGACCTGGACACGCCCCCCGTTAACAGTGACTAACAGTGACAGGTGACTGAGCTGTTAAGTTGTACTAATGATAAAGGTTCTACTTAAAAGTTTCATTCAGTTATTTCGTCTCATGAGCTGGAAGTTTTGGTAAAGAACCAGTCTAAAACTCTTTTGGCTTTTCAGAGTGGACGCGTCTGGGCGCAGAGTGGCCAGCTTAGACGTCGATGGGGTTGTGAAGGTAAAAGCATGTCTGTAAAAGTACATATTTTTAGAAAGTTAAAATGTGGATGTGTTTTGTGTTGTTAGGTGTGGTCATTTAACCCCACGATGCAGACCAAAGCCACCATCATGTCCAAGTCTCCACTGCTGTCCCTGGAGTGGGCCACCAAACCGGACAGACTGGTACCAGCTTCTGCTCCACATGCCTCCACACACCTCCTCATGCTGCCACACGGTTGCCTAGCAACCATAATGTGTCTTAATATTCACAATAGTTATGATTTGACAAATATATAAATCACAACACCTATATTTTGAAAAAAAGTTGTTAGAACTTTGCCCGTGTCCCTCAGCTGCTGTTGGGGAGTGGAGTGAGCACTGTGCGTCTGTACGACACTGACGCCAAGAAGAACCTGTACGAGATCAACATCGATGACACTCACCCACGGTAGGACATCCCCCTGTCCCTTCACAAGTGTCCTCACATGTGTCCTCACATGTCTCCTCATTGTGTCCTTAGGATCCTGTCCCTGGCGTGCAGTCCGAGTGGTTCGTCCTTTGTGTGTTCGGCTGCAGCTCTGTCTCGCTCTGGGGGGGCGGAGACTCGTCGCGTCCCTGTCTCCGTATCCGGACAGCTACTGCTCTGGGACACCAAGACAGTCAAACAGCAGGTCAGTCCTCCCATGTCCTCTGATATCATCTGTCCTAAAGGGACATGACTGTGTCTAGAGAAACATGTCTAAACCAAATAAATCTTTTACTGATAATAACTGTAATGCTGATTTAGCCCTCACGTTCTCCTGGGGGTCACAGGGGGCCAACATTTTTGGGTCTGATTGACCTGCCCCAAGAGAGCGGGAAGGAAAAGAAAAAATTATTCGGGTCTATGTGACCCCCAGGAGAGCGTGAGGGTTTTAATGTGAATTTTATTTATATTTTAATTTGGTGTTTTGGTTCAAGATGATTATCCAGTTTGAAAGCAGAAAGCCTCACATCTGGGTTCTCAGTACATATCAGCATTTACTGCATATGCTCGTATTGGATCATCTTTGATCTTAGTTTCCATGGGATTGAAAAAAAGAATTACATTTAGCAGTAAGTGTTGTGTGAATGGAGCAGGGTAAGTGTGTGTCTCTCTGTTGTTCATGTACATGTGCTTTGTCTTGTAGCTGAGGTTCTCTCTGGAGCCGGACCCTGTGGCCATAAACTGCACAGCCTTTAACCACAACGGCAACCTGCTGGTGACTGGGGCCGCTGACGGGGTCATCCGCCTCTTTGGTACAGCCTCTGTGTCTCTGTTTCTCTGTGTCTGTCCCTCCTCTGTTTCTGTGTGTCTCCTGCGTCCCTGTCTCCCTGTGTCTCTGTGTCTGGGTGTTGACTGTTCATGTGTCTCTGGTAGACATGCAGAGGTACGACTGTGCCATGAGCTGGAGGGCACATGACGGAGAGGTGTACAGTGTGGAGTTCAGCTATGACGAGAACACTGTCTTCAGCATTGGAGAGGACGGCAAGGTACTCTCTCCAGAACATCTGGGTTAGAGAGGAGCGGGGAGGTACTCTCTCCAGGGCATCTGGGTTAGAGTGGAGGGGGAGGTACTCACATCAGGGGATCTGGGTCAAAGAGGAGGGGGAGGTACTGTCACCGAGGTACTCTGTTCACTTCTTTTGATTAGTCAGTCAGAGTTTGATTAGACCCTTGTTGAGACAGCACTGTGGTGTGAGTGTTTAACAGAGGTTCTTCTGTGTGTGTGTGTCTGCATCTGTCACTGTGTGCGTGTGTACGTGTTTGTGTGCAGTTCATCCAGTGGAACATCCATCGCTGTGGGGTGCGACAGTCAGAGCAGGCCCTGTCCCAGGAGGCCACAGGGCCCTTCGTCCTATCCGGATACAGTGGATACAAGCAGGTATCAGCGGGTGGAGGCGGGTGGAAGTGGGTAGAAGCTGGTATGACTGAGTATGACTGAGTACAAGTGTGTATGAGCGGGTACAAGTTCTGACCCTCTGATCTTCTGACCCTCTGCTGTTCTTCTGGCTGTGTGTGGTTCAGGTGCAGGTTCCTCGTGGTCGGCTCTTTGCCTTTGACTCTGAGGGACAGCACGTGCTGACCTGCTCCAGCTCCGGAGGGCTCATCCACAGGGTGAGTACCTCCTCCTGCTCAAACAGAGGGAGCACAGTCATAATGTGATTTTGTTATTGGGGAAAATCATCTTTAAATATGTAGATATCATAATGAAACATTCTCTTTCCCAGTGGCCATTGTCGCATTTATTTGACAGGGACAATGGAGACAGTCTAACGTTCGAACACACTTTATTTCCATGATCATTTACATGATCATTACATTGCAGATTCTCTCTGACAGCATCAAAACTATGAATGGACTTGTATGGAAAAGTGTGAGATAACTAAAAACATGTTTTAGATTTTAGATTCTTCAAAACAGCAGTGATCAAAGCAAAGGGTGACTTTGCTTTGCACTTTTGGCATTTCTTGCCCCTGGCATGGAACAGCTGTCAAGTGAAAACCATTTCAGCTCGTTGAGAGAAGGCCAAGGGTTTGTAGTGCTGTCGACAAAGCAAAGAAAGGCTAATATAAAAATATGTTTAATTTAGTGAGTTATTTATCATATATAATTCCTTACATCTTGCTTCTTTACTGCATTTGATGTCCTCAGCATGTAAAAAGACAATGTAAGATTTTGAATTTTTACAAAGAAAATGGTGACTTTACTACTTAATTTGAAAGTGTACCCTCTTCATCCTCTTGTGCTTGTGACTGTGACCAGGACGGGTAGAGCGGCTGGATTGCAGTGAGAAATCCCAGAAAAGATGATGGAGGCAGGTTTAGTGTGGTCCACAAATTTTTTTAATTTCTTTTTTTCAAAATTCCAAAGTGCCAGTGCAGAAAACAAAGTGCGGTGCAAAAAGTGCAGGGAGGATATGGAGCAGCAGGTCTCTCCAGCAGCAGAAGATGGAATGGTCTTATTAGGCGCCTTATATACTACTGGATAAAACTATTAAAACTCCAAGGGGTGTAAAATAACCTTAGCTGTATAAAACTAAGTTAAAATCCTCCAATAAAATACCCATAGCCAAATAAACTATATAAAACCCAAATACAAAAATAATAAAACCCTAAAACTAATTCCTAATAAAACCCAACGTGAATATCCCAATTAAAAACGAGTGCTATTCCCCCCCGATGTCCGCCGTGATGAGTTGGCCCGGAAGTGCCCGTCCGACCGGCCCACGCGACACCCAATGAAGCCCTCAATAAACATACATTTTCCTAAAACAATACAAATGTGTGCAATTCTTAATATGTTAATATGTGCAAATTAGCGTATCTTATAAGTGCTGCGTGCTATAAAGTGCAATGTAAATATATATAAAGTGCATGTGTAATTATTACGTAACGAACAGGCCGTTCGTTACAGTGACCTACAATGAACATGCCTAGATCTGATCTGTGAGTGTTGTGTTTCAGCTGACCGGTGGGGAGGCAGGGGCCCTGGACACAGTGCTATCTCTGGGGGGACACAGGGCTCCAGTGGTCACAGTGGACTGGTGCTCCGCCCTGGACTGTGGTACCTGCCTGACCGCCTCCATGGATGGGAAGATCAAACTGAGCACGCTCCTGGCCCAGAAGTGCTAACCACACACACACTCACACGCATGCACACACGCACACACTGAAGCAGGAGAGCAGGAGCCTCCTCAAGATGGAGTCTTGTGACATGGGGGTGAACTGGATAAGTGACAGTGTATCATCTAAGAGATTTAACATTCCAGAGTGTGTCTTTTAGAGGATCAGCTCAACTTCTATGCAGCAGTAGAAGATGGAACATCCACTCAGCAAACAGAAGTGACATATCATGCATTGTACATACTACCCAATGTGGAAATATGTTTTTTTTTTTATTTGTCTTTATCATTTGAAAACACATTTTGGGGGACCCAAGGAAGAGGTGCATAGGGTTCATAGTTCTGTGCTGCTGCACACCGGGTCTCTCTTGAGTGCATGTTCTCACTGTGTCTGAGTGGAATTCCTCTGGGCCCAACACATGTACAATAGGTCAAATCCTCCAGCTAAGGTAGTCCTGACCAAGACCAGCTCAAGATCTGGAGATGGGTCCCCGACTGTGAACTGCCCAGTGGCATTAAAGGATGGGTCAAATGCAGAGGACATTTTTCCCTATGGGGACAATAAAGTGTAACTTAACCTTAAACGTAGTGCAAATACAATATACACTGTACAGTATTACAGCCTTATCGTGTGTATTAACATGTAAGTCATCGCTGTCACTGTTTGTGTTCATTTAAGTAAATAAAGCAAAGATCCAGTAGTGAAACTGCGTGTTTGGTCGCTTTTGTGCAGTGTGAGCGGAGCGCAGACAGGGGGCGCACACGAGGCGCGCTGAGCTCGTGCGCTTTTCCACGCAGAGGAAGAGTGCGACAATAACAAGGCTAGCGCTAGCATAGCACGGCACGGAATAGAAAAGCATGGCAAAAACGTATTGTTTGGGCTAAATATAAAGATCAGCCCTTACTATACGATCCCGCTCCCAGCAGCAGCGGAATGCGCGGCTAGCAGCGAGCAGCGGGTCATGTGTTAGCGCAAAGACAGAAGGGGCATCTTGTGTGAGTGCGTCAGTCTGGGTGCACCGCAAACGCTGGCTGCTGGTTCTATGTCTTATAGTTAGACTCCACTTGGACCCGTGTAGTGTGACTGTGCACGCAGAGAGCTTTCGCCATGGAGAGCCTTTACAAGCGCAAAATGTTCGCTTCTATGCGGAAAACCAAAGTGGCCGCAAAGCGTCAGATCGGGTTGCCCGCCTCCATCCTGGACGACAGCGACGAGGGCTCCTTCTCCTCGTCCTCCTCTGGCTCCGAGTCCGAGTTCCGCAGGTCAGTGGACCGCAGAGGGCCCCCAGGACACAGCAGTACTCTGCACAAGGGCCACAGTGCACAGCCCGGCACACGGCGCAGGGGCCCCACTGGAAGAAAAAAAAATCTATAAGTTTTGGAGTATCCCTATAACAATATTCAGAAAATATTCTGTCACTCCAACAGACATGTGTTAAAGCGTGTCTTTTATTGGCTGGGGGTTAACTATATGTAACATGACTGTAAAATGACCCATAAAAGTCCAGAAATATCATTATCACAAATGTTTTAATCAGCTCTGTTGTGCTTTTTTGTTATACACATTTACCCAATATTCTAATTATCATTACGTTAAAAACAACATTTACAATATTATTGACATTTGGATAATCTGCCCACCTCTGCCCCTGCACACGAGACAGATCAACTTTGATCTGAATCATATCTGTTTGTCCTATAGAAATGCAGGTAATTATGCATTCCATTAATGTTTTTAGAATGCAACTGTCAAAATAGGCTTAGTTTGAGAAAAAGGGCCAGATATGACTTCCCAGTTCAGTAAATGTTACTTCTATATTGTAAAAACTGTGATAATGGAGTAAACAATGCATTTTAAAGTGTTGTGTGCACATGTCAACAGCTCTCAGGAGGAGGACAGTGACTCTGCAGCCAGTTCCAGTGACCACAGCCGCTCAGTAACTCGGAGGAAGCGCTCGTTTTTGGGCCGTGACAGTACGTCATCCTCCTCCAGCTCAGAGGAGAGCTCAGAGGAGGAGGAGCCAAAACGCTCAGGCCGCTCAGGCAAAAGGAGCCGAGTGCAGAGGAATGACGAATCGGACTCAGACACTGCGGAGAAGACCAGAAAGGAGGCCCCTGAGAAGGCCAAGAGACGCCAGAGACACAACAAGCTTCTGGCCCTGTCCAGAAGGATCAAGGCCGGGGTCAACCGTCGGAGGAGCCGCCTTAAGCAGGTCCCAGACTCAAAACCACACAGGCACTGACACACTCACGCCCACACTCCTCACACCTGAAACAAACCCCGCCCCCACTCCTCACACCTGAAACAAACCCCACCCACCACACTCCTCACACCTGAAACAAACCCCACCCCCACACTCCTCACACCTGAAACAAACCCCACCCCCCACACTCCTCACACCTGAAACAAACCCCACCCCCCACACTCCTCACACCTGAAACAAACCCCGCCCACACTCCTCACACCTGAAACAAACCCCACTCACACTCCTCACACATGAAATAAACTCCTTCCACTCTCGTCACTGACATTAACCCCGCCCACTGCCCACAGCACCACTGGAAAATAAAGCCTGCCCATACTACTGAGGGATGTGTTATCACTGCACTGTGGACATATTTCTCTTTCTATGTTTCAGGACTCTGATGAAGATGAAGAGTCCAAAGGAAATGGTGTTGACAAGGGGGCATCCAAAGAAGGCAAGGAAGCAAGTGAAGGAGATGAAGAAGTACACAAAGGAGACAAAGAAGCAAGCAAAGGAGACAAGGAGATAAGTGGAGGAGACAAGGAAGCAAGCAAAGGAGACGATGAGAACAGACACCAGAAGAAAAGCAGAGGAGACAGGAAAACTAGCGAAGGAGATAAAGAAGCAAATGAAGGAGACAAGAACGCAAGTGAAGGAGACGAGGAGGCCATTAAAGGAAACGAGGAGGCAGGAAAAGGAGATGAGGAGATGGAGGAGACCACAAAAGTGGGAGAATGTGAGGAGGGAGGAACAAGAGAGGGAGACTGAGGAGGCTCAAATATCTCCTTTTTATAACGACGTGATGTCAGAGCTCAGATGGGCTCTGATTGGCTGACGGACAGGGAATTCAAAAGGACACACCGCTGTTGTTGTTTTTAGCAGCTCATTTGGAAATACTAATGTAAAAAGTGTCAGACACAACCTGCAGAGTCCATAGTGTTAACAAACCCTCTGTCCATCTTCAGAAAATGGACGTTAAATATTTAACCCTGACTTTCTTCATCATTATGTAATCATTCTGAGCATTAGTTTGAGCATAAGACCTTTTCATATAATCTGCTTTTGTTTGTGCTGTGCCAGTGCAGTGTGGACGCTCAACATGTGCTCATGTGAGACGGTCAGACTGAAGCCCTCCAATGAGGCTGGACTGTGGCCTAGTCTCCACCAGGGGGCACTCATCTCACACAGAAGGGCCCATCCCTAATCTCTGGCTCCCGAGTGTAAGTCTGTGTGGAGTCTGTGTCTGTGAGGCAGCAGACTGCTGGATGGACACATATGTTAGTATAATAACATATTTTAGCAGGGCTTTATATAAAGGACATTTCCAATGAAGATCTGACCACATCTTGTTTTTACTGTTGAGTTTGTAAAGTGTCACTTGGCTCCCAGCTCTAGGGGCATAGTTCATATATTTATGTCCTGAAGTACTGAGTGAGCGGCTGTACAGTCCCTTCTTCTGTGTTTGTGACATTACTGTATAAATCTGCTGAGCTCTCATAGGGTAAACAGGACACTGTCTAATGCAGGGCCATGATGGTCTCATATCTCATGCTCATCATGGTACAATATTTCTGGCGTTGTTGTAAGGCAGTCATGTACAAATGCTACTTTTTGGATTAAAAACAGAAATCTGGTTCATGCTGGCACCACTGAAATGGAGCAAAGGATCACAGTGTATGTAGTCCACTGCAGCACTCAACCAAACACATTCAAGCAAAGCAGCAACTCAGTATGTTACACTCCACAATGTCATTGTGAGCATTTGGATATGGTAATACAACAAAACTGTTAATTGTACTTGGTTTGTGGTGGACAAAAATGCTTTATAATAGATACAGACAGAACACAGTCTCATTTTGACCTCAAGAGCTGATTCTCCATTATATCTGCCTAGATCTTTGAGACCTTTTTCATTTCCTTATAACACTGATAAACATACTGAATCCTCTATGTTTATATTTTAAGTGACTCACTTTCTACAAAAAATTTAAGGTGAAATAGTTCAAGATTTGGATCTACAGGGTTAAGGAGATTCAAAAGTTTCAGAGCTGATGGTCCCTGGCCTCCTCCGATTGTACGAAACAGTCTGAACTTCTGTAGTTGCACAGTGGCCACACTCCCCCATCCCCAGAACTTTGTGTATGAGGTTTAACAGGTGTAATCCTGCTCCTGAACTCTGGAGCTGATACACACCAGTGTGAAATGAACACCCCCTCTCACACACCTACTGCAGGTCTGCTCACTTTGTCCAGTCCAGGGCTGAGCGGGTTTTAATGACAGACAGTAATGGAATCCTCTAATGCAATTACACAAGGGGCCACCTCAACGTGAGGCTGAGCAGCTCAGTGTTTCTCCACTCTTCACTTTCCTATAGCTACATAGAGCGAACCTTTCCTTTGCCATATTGTGCTGTCTATTATTTAACTGTAATATTCAGTACTTGTCGAGTAGTTTCAATATTAATTTTTATTTGGTATAAAACTGGTTGTCATGTGCTCTGTGTAGAGGAGCAGGATTATATAAGAATGTCTGATGAACACTAGAATGGGATGATTCCAGATGGAGGGCAGGGGCTTGTGTGGGAGATCCACTGAAATCCCCAAACTTCTAATCCACAAATGTTGAACCTTATATGAAATGCTTTTCATCCATTTTCACTCTTGAATAAACTTCACTGATCCACAGGAAAATGTCTTGGACAGTGGAGGTTTTTGTGGTGCATTCTGTTTTTTTTTCTGCCAAGACCCACTTCCAGCCACCATCCCTGTGTGAAGGAGCAGGTATGTAGTTATGTGAGTTAATACTCTTGTGTACTTGTATACATCTGGGTACATGATCTTAGGATCTTTTAGGTTTTATGGTCCTCGCGTATTGTGTAGTTTCGCCCATCACCTGATGGGGGAAGCAGTACGCAGTGCACAGCCTGCAGGAAAGGGAGAGAAGAGTAGAATGTGTCCGCCATGTTTGATAGGGGCAGTGAAGCTCTGACCCATGGATGTATTAACAGACGTGACTAGACCCATGCCCTGAACCGTGACCGCGCTGAGGATGTGCGCCCTGGAGCTGTGAGGAGCGGAGCGACGCACTGACACTACCCGGACAACTGCACAGAGGAGGCGGCAAAGACACAACATGGTGCAGACGTGCTCTGCGTACGGCTGTAAAAACCGCTACCACAAAGACAAAGAGATCTCTTTCCACAAGTGAGTCCAGTTCTGTCCCCCGTGGAGTCTCGGGTCAGTTAGCATCAGGCTCCAAAGTGTGGAACCAGAGGACATCTGACCACACGCAGTGCACACCTGTACCACCTGGCGCAAAACGGTGACCACGTACATTCACGTCACGTTCACAGTTTTCCTTTGACATTCACGTTGCCAGTGTATCTCCCAGAACCATGGGTTAGATCAGATGCGCCCACAATGAAAGCGTCCCACCTCAAATCCGTGCCAGACCTCTAAACACTTTTGTTCAATAATCGACCAAGTTCGTTTTTGCTAGTGGCGAGTTTTACTGGTGAGATGTTTCAGGACTAAACCAGCTCTAATTCACTGTTAAACCCACTCTGTACATCCATTTGTGGCAATCAGACAGCAGCAGCCTAATCCTGCGCACTGACAACTATTTTAAACTGGTATATATGTGTGTGTGTATAAAATTTATCATTTAGTTTACCCTAAGACTATAAAAAAAAAAAAAAAAATTGTTCAAAATAAATGTGGTAAACATGTGGTGATGGCACAGGTTCCCTCTGGCGCGGCCGGACGTCTGTGACAAGTGGGTGTCAGCCATGAGACGAGACAACTTCAGACCCACCAAGTACAGCAGCCTGTGCTCACAGCACTTCACCCAGGACAGCTTCAAGAGGGAGTGCAACAACCGCGTGCTCAAGGAGAACGCCGTGCCCTCCGTCTTCTCCTCCTGCCTGCGCATCAAGGTGCCCACCCCAGCACCATCCACAGAGCATCCACAGAGCACCCACCCACAGCACCACACACCCCCAGAGCATCCACAGAGCACCCACCCACAACACCACACACCCCCAGAGCATCCACAGAGCACCCACCCACAACACACACACCCCAGAGCACCCACCCACAGCACCACACACCCCCAGAGCATCCACAGAGCACCCACCCACAGCACCACACACCCCCAGAGCACCCACCCACAGCACCACACACCCCAGAGCATCCACAGAGCACCCACCCACAACACCACACACCCCCAGAGCACCCACCCACAGCACCACACACCCCCAGAGCATCCACAGAGCACCCACCACACACCCAGACACCCACACAGCACCACACACCCCAGAGCATCCACAGAGCACCCACCACAGCACCACACGCCCCCAGAGCATCCACAGAGCACCCACCCACGCACCACACACCCCCAGAGCACCCACCCACAGCACCCACCCACAGCACCCACCCACAGCACCACCCACAGCACCACCCACATAGTATCCACAGAGTACCCACCCACAGTATCTATCCATGCAGCACCTACTCAGCACTGCTCATGAAGTGTTTAATGCCATACTGTAGAAGATTTCAGTCAGAGCTATTGGGTTTCCATGGAGACGGACAGGTGGCGGGCTGCCTAACAGTAACATAAGTTACATAGTTAACTTTTTAGTTCCTAACATCTTAAATGGTTTGTGTTCCAGCATGAGTGCCGGGAGTCCTTTCCTCCTGATCTGCACTTCCCTCTGCGCTCTGACCCTGGGGAGCAGGGGGAGGAGCCTGTGTCACATGACCAGACAGCAGCAGTCTCATGTGACCACAACTACACGGCGGAGGACTCTGCGTGGCAGAAGAAGCGTATTGAGCAGCTAGAGGAGCAGGTGGAACGTCTGCGCAGACGCCTCAAGAGCAGCCAGCAAAGATGCAGACGACAGGAGAGGCACATCCGACGTCTGCGCAACACTCTGGGGCTGCCCGCGCTGCCCACAAGCCTGGACCAGAACTGACCCGTGTAGTTATGTTTACCTGTGCGCCTGTTCTCAAACTGTGGTGCACACACTCCAGACTCTTGTGTAGTTCAGCAGCGCTCAAAGGACCTGTGCCCCGATTCTGCAGTCCTATACCTCTTCTCACTTCACAGCACACAGTGGTCTCATTCATACTTTAAGAGCTGCTTTAAAATGTATTTGTAACTTGGAGAAAAATAAATTAGTTCACATACATGGACAAACATTGGGCTAACCTGACCCTGTTCCTAAACATAACCCAAACCTGAACCTATTCGTTACAAATGTCAAAAGAGAAATCAACATAAAACTGTAGAACGGGGGAACAAGTGAACCTCACAAGTGAACCTCACAAGTGAACCTCACAAGTGAACCTCACAAGTGAACCTCACAAATGAACCTCACAAGTGAACCTCACAAGTGAACCTCACAAGTGAACCTCACAAGTGAACCTCACAAGTGAACCTCTCATGTGAACCTCTCACGTGTCCCACATGACTCCTCCCTCAGACTCCACACGCCTCTGACTGCTGGATTCTTCACACTGAGAGCAGAGCTGTGCCGTAGTGATCACAGGCTTTACACTTTATACAGGGAAAGGTCTGTGATGTCCTCCTCAGTCCTCCTTCTTCTCTTCCTCCATTTCCTCCTTAGTCTCCTCTTCAGTCTCCTCCTCAGTCTCCTCCTCAGTCTCCTTCTCGGTCTCCTTCTCGGTCTCCTCTTCAGTCTCCTCTTCAGTCTCCTCTTCAGTCTCCTCTTCAGTCTCTCCTCAGTCTCCTCAGTCTCCTCCTCAGTCTCCTCTTCAGTCTCCTCCTCAGTCTCCTCCTCAGTCTCCTCCTCAGTCTCCTCAGTCTCCTCTTCAGTCTCCTCCTCAGTCTCCTCCTCTCTCCTCAGTCTCCTCCTCAGTCTCCTCTTCAGTCTCCTCCTCAGTCTCCTCCTCAGTCTCCTCAGTCTCCTCTTCAGTCTCCTCCTCAGTCTCCTCCTCAGTCTCCTCCTCAGTCTCCTCTTCAGTCTCCTCTTTGGAGTTTTTGCAGGTCGTGTGCATTCTGAGCCAGGGATGAGGCTGACCCTGGTTTGTCTTTCTCTAGAACTACTGTAGGAGTCCTGTTTTATCCAATCCAATCTACTTTATTTCTATAGCACATTTCACAAACAAACAGTTTCCAAAGTGCTGCATAGATACATAATAATAACAATAATAATAATAAAATGATAAAATAACTACTAAAATAATACTAGTCTTAAAGTAATAAAACCAGTAAAATAAAATAAGAACAAACATCATAGACTAGAAATAAATAAACCAACAAATAAATCAATAAAACCAATAAAAACACATAAAAAAACACAGAGGAGCACACAACTCAATGGTATTAAAAGTGGATGTTAAGACGAGACTTAAAACTCTCCTCTTTGGGGCTGTTGGGACGTGGGGGGGCAGAGTGTGCCAGAGTTTAGGGCCAACCACAGAGAAGGCCCTGTCCCCCCGGTTTTAAGTCTCGTCTTAGGCACCCTGAGCTGGAGCTGGACCTCAGACCTCAGGAGGTATACATTTGGATGAGGTCTGAGACGTACTGTGGGGCCAGTCCATTCAAAGTTTAAAAAGAAACAATAAAGACCTGTTGTGTAGTTTAGCCCACTTTAATAGTACTGTGTTTGGACCTGATGTACTTGCAGAGAACAAAATACTGTTTGTAGGTGGTATCTGGTGTGAAATGTTTGATCAAGTGTGTCTCACCCACCCACTTGGAGTTATCTAGAGAGCATGCTCCTTGGGCCATCCCTATTAAAAAAAAATGTATATGCACAAAAAAGAAGCACACCTTTGACCCTTGCTCATTAAAAATGTGCATACAGTTTTTGTGAACAAAAAAAAAAGTGGTTTTAAACATGATAATGGTAACTGCCTGAGCCTGAGGATCTCCGGATGTGAGTCAGATTTAAGCCGGGACTCAGTATGAGACACTGGAACTTGTTGCTCCCTCTTGGTGCTGGGTGAGGCTGTGGGGCCACGCACAGAGGAGAGACCCCCTCCTCTCTGAGACATTCCCCAGCAGCAGATAAGAGCAGACCCACCCTGTGCTCTGTAAACACTCTTGTTTCCCCTGTGTACACACACACACACACACACACACACACTCTGATGAGTCTGAGTTTATGAATGATCAGTGAGAGGAGCCTGGAGAGCCACCATAACATCTCAGACCTCATGAGCAGCATGTGGCCTCCACCAACAATACAAGCGATTCTAGTCCTGTGTCCTGAAGACTCTCACAGACACACGGTCCACACACACGAGCCACCGCCTCACACACAACACACATCCATCTGCTGAGCTTTCTTCACCAGAAGCAATAATCCACTGGGACTATCCTGGGGCCTGGTGGTGGCTGTGGTTGGGGGGAGTGTGACTTCAGTGGGCCCCTCCCTGTCCCCCGGTGGGTCCCCGAGGTCCTGTACTTGGACTGTGACACCACAGCGGGCCGTGCCAGCGCAGAGCTAACGGACACTCATCGTGCACGCCATCCTCCGTAAGTATTCTTGTCATTTTTGTCTTATTAAAGGTGATTAGACTGAAACTAGGCTGCATGATTTGGTCAAAATATGTAATTAAAATTTTTCCCGAAAAGCATTGCTATTACGATTTTACGATTTGTAATTTGTAATGGTTAGATAGCAGGATTCTGTTCAACGTTCACATTTTAAAGATGTCCAGGAGCATTTAACAGTTGAGGAAACTCAAACCTGCCCCAATAAACTAAAGGAAGAATTCCATGTATTTCACAACAAGTTTGTCTAGGTCTAAAGTCGAGGGGTAGCAGCTTTTACAATAAGAGGATATTTTTTTTGCAAAAAATTATATATATATTTTTAAATTGTCAGTCTTTGTGATTTGCTAATTAAACCCATTCAAACTGCAATTTTGATTTAAACTCCGCCCACAACCACATTTCAGAAAGAGCTGCTCAACTGAGTGGCACCTAGAGGGGAAGAGTGAGGGGGGAGGAGGGGCTGGCTGTAAATCAGGATAGTCATGTGTGATGTCACCAACTACTAAAATGCAAACGTACATAGTTTCAACGAAAACTAAAACTGACTAAGAACAGTAGATGCTGCTATTAAACCACATTTACAGTTTTGTAGTGAAAACAAGTAGATTCAATGTTTAGTTACACGTTTTCATTCTTCACTCAGCTGAACTCTGTTGCCATGGAGTTCCTGGAGGCATTTTACCGCAGGAAGTTAAAGAAGAAGCAAAAGAAGAGCGCGATGTTTCACTCTGAGATGCAGCTAAACCGAGCCCCCTCTTTGGCCAGTGTCGGTGCCACGGCAACAGGTGGAGAAACCACGGCAACAGGCCTCCTCACCAGAGTCCTGCACCTCACCAGGTCTCATGACACGCCTTCTCCCTGACATGTCCTCTATATGCTCTGTACATAACAGGCTCTAGTCACGCTTACGTCCCAAACCAGGAAGACGTTTGGAAACATGTGATTACAACTTCTGACAGGATCTGTTCGCTGTAGTAAGTCTGACAGAATTTAGAACAAATGAGAAAATGTCCCAGTTTTCTTCATCTCCAGGTCATTGTAGCGTTCTTTTATGTTCAGCTCAACAACAATTCCAAACATAGCTCAGTTTTCATCATTTCTCCACTGACAAACAACTCTGAGTGCACTGGTACATGTGATGAGAAGAGATGAGGCCAAACTCTAGATGATTCCAAACAGCAAATACATCTGCAGTCTTCACTTTACAACTGATCACATTTACTTCAGTGGGTTTGATCACATTTGGTCGGTGAGTCCAGTGTCGGGATCTACACAGGAAATTGTCATTGCATGTTTCCAAACGTCTTCCTGGTTTGTGACATAAGCGTGAATAGAGCCAATAGCGTCAGCAGCCTCACTGTCAGAGCCGCCCCTTCAGATTTTCACCGTTGCGCTAAAATTAAATAATATTTAAAAATGCAGCAGTACACAGGGAGTTGTGGGTGGATGTCAGTGACAACATGTTAAAAAGTACACAAATAAAACAAATACTTCAATGAAGGACACGTCTGTGTTTAAAAAGAGAAATGTTTGTGTCTCAGTGCTAATGCTAATGTTGAGGCAAACGTACATAGTTACAAAAATGCTACAAAACCAGAGCATTCTACATGAATTGTCTTTATTTTAATTTATTTTTATTTGAATAGGTTGTTTATTTTATGTTTTTTGATTTGAATAAAAGGAACTTTTAGCTTGACAAGAATTCATTAGAGTGTAAATTTGACTTTGTCTTTGGGAGATTAGCTGCTAACACCAAACAGATCACTGTGCTACGTTTGATCTTTCTCAAAATGTTATATCTGCCCAAAACAACATTTTAACTTTTTTTTTTAATAAGTTACACTTTCATTTTTGACACTGAGTCTTTTCAAGTCCATGCTAAGTCACCCCCCCCTTCAGAGCGCTATCCTAACACACTTGACGTGCTAATAAAGTTTTGCATGATGTTTTTGGAGAACGTAGTGTGGGAGCACGGGTGGAGCATCGCACAGAATCTCACAGCGAACTGTCAGGAGGATTTGAAAAGGGCCTGGGAGAGAACCAAAAAGAAAACAAACAAAAAAAAACTGATTTGGCATAATACCCCCTCTTTAAAATCTGCTAAATATCCTTGTCTCATTGTGTAATTCATCAACATTCTTAGTAAGTTTATGAAACTTTCAGGATGATAAAGTCATATTAAAGTGAGAGCCAGATAAAAAGCATCATGCATTCAGAGTTACTTTTGCGCTGTAAATTGTCGTTTAATCATATTTCAAAGCTTCATTCTTCATTCTCTCCACACTGGTAAGATACTGTTGTAGAGCCACAGCTGCCCAGGGCCAGACTGACAGAAGTGAGGCTGCCAATCTGACTGAATCAAGAGCCTTGCTTAAGACAAAACAGTGTTTTTGCCTCTTCCCAGGCCCAGCTCTGCAGAGCTTCTGAGATCTGACAAGATCAGGATTTTACAAACCCCTGGCACAGGACACTTCTGTTTTAATAATAGGAATCTCCTGACAATTGAAAAAAAGAACATGTTTGTACTGATCTAAACTACAGGGTTAGCAGTTTTTATGCAGAATAACTAATGCCATCCATTTTTAATTGTGATTTTGATTCATTTGCAATTGCTGTTGCATCCCTAATTTCACATGTGCGGAGCAGGACAGGGCAGGCACAGGCTCCAGTGGTGAGGAGGGGCTGGTTCTTCCTGAGATAAGCCCCAAACAGAGTGCTATTCTGGGCTCTAGATCAGCAGTGTCCCAGTGTACTGGAGCCTTCAGCTGGACTCCACATCTGAGCCTGTCTCCCAAAGGTCCACAGTTTATTCTTCTCTTTAGCCACCATCCCCAGTGTCTGATACCATCACTTCCTGTTTATCCTGAAGTAAACATATTCAAACGGCAATGTGAGCCATGCCCTGTGCTCCTTCTCTTTAGGCTCCTCTTTTCACTTACAGACTTCAGTCATGATTAAAGGAACAGTATGTAGCCTGTGCTCTTACAGCGTTAATAAATATAGTAGAGTATGTGGACAGGCCAGGCCTCATGTGAAAGCTCAGGACTTCCAGAATTTACTCACTGAGCTGTCAAGGCTTAGATCAGAGTGAGTCCTTTTAGGTTTAACCTAAAACCTGGTAAAACAAATGAAAGACTCGTGTGAGGCTCATTCTGCTTTCTGATTGGATAATGAGAGTTTTCAGAACCAAATATTAAATTATAACATAAAAATCTTGAGTGTCATTTCCAAATCAGCTTTACAATTGTGAAAGTTATATTTGATTTAAAAATGTTGACCTTGTATGTGGGGACACAGTCAGGTCATGTGTGAATTATAGCAGTGTGAAAAACAGTGGAGATGAAGGACACACTTTACAAGGACCTGGTTAATACTTCTGTTTCAATTCTTTATTAGTAACTAGTAATTAGAGCTTCAACTAAGTGAACTAGTTTATTAGAGGAAGAGTCAATTCATACAACCACCTGCCAGAACTGTCCAAACAAACAGACTGTGTGAACTGTTATGGCCCATATAATGTGTATGTAGCATGTACTGTGTTGCTGCGAACAGGTGTGCAGTTGTGTGTGTGTGTGTGTGTGTGTGTTGGTGCATACAGGTGTACAGATGTGTATGTGTGTGTCATGTGTTAGTGTGTAAAGATGTGTACAGATTACAATCAGAATTCATTTGTCATTTGTGTGTCATGTGTGGTGTTGGTGCTTACAGGTGTACAGATGTGTATGTGTGTGTCATGTGTTAGTGTGTAAAGATGTGTACAGATTACAGTCAGAATTCATTTGTCATTTGTGTGTCATGTGTTGAGTTGGTGCTTACAGGTGGACAGATGTGTATGTGTGTGTGTGTCATGTGTTGTGTTGGTGCTTACAGGTGTACAGATGTGTGTGTGTGTGTCATGTGTTGTGTTGGTGCTTACAGGTGTACAGATATGCGTGTGTCATGTGTTGTGTTGGTGCTTACAGGTGTACAGATGTGTGTGTGTGCGTGTCATGTTGTGTTGGTGCTTACAGGTGTACAGATGTGTGTGTGTGTGTGTCATGTTGTGTTGGTGCTTACAGGTGTACAGATGTGTGTGTGACATGTTGTGTTGGTGCTTACAGGGGTACAGACGTGTGTGTCATGTTGTGTTGATGCTTACAGGTGTACAGACGTGTGCGTGTGTCATGTGTTGTGTTGGTGCTTACAGGTGTACAGACGTGTGTGTGTGTGTCATGTTGTGTTGGTGCTTACAGATGTGTGTGTGTGTGTGTGTCATGTGTTGTGTTGGTGCTTACAGATGTGTGTGTGTGTGTGTGTCATGTGTTGTGTTGGTGCTTACAGGTGTACAGATGTGTGTGTGTGTGTGTCATGTGTTGTGTGTGTTGGTGCTTACAGGTGTACAGATGTGTGTGTGTGTGTGTGTGTGTGTGTGTCATGTGTTGTGTTGGTGCTTACAGGTGTACAGATGTGTGTGTGTGTGTTATGTGTTGTGTTGGTGCTTACAGGTGTACAGATGTGTGTGTGTGTCATGTGTTGTGTTGGTGCTTACAGGTGTACAGATGTGTGTGTGTGTCATGTTGTGTTGGTGCTTACAGGTGTACAGATGTGTGTGTGTATGTGTGTGTCATGTGTTGTGTTGGTGCTTACAAGTGTACAGATGTGTGTGTGTGTGTGTGTGTATGTGTATGTGTGTGTCATGTGTTGTGTTGGTGCTTTCAGGTGTACAGATGTGTGTGTGTGTGTATGTGTGTGTCATGTGTTGTGTTGGTTCTTACAGGTGTACAGATGTGTGTGTGTGTGTCATGTGTTGTGTTGGTGCTTACAGGTGTACAGATGTGTGCGTGTGTGTGTGTCATGTGTTGTGTTGGTGCTTACAGGTGTACAGTTGTGTGTGTGTGTCATGTTGTGTTGGTGCTTACAGGTGTACAGATGTGTGTGTGTCATGTTGTGTTGGTGCTTACAGGTGTACAGACGTGTGTGTGTGTGTCATGTTGTGTTGGTGCTTACAGATGTGTGTGTGTGTGTCATGTGTTGTGTTGGTGCTTACAGGTGTACAGATGTGTGTGTGTTTGTGTGTCATGTGTTGTGTTGGTGCTTACAGGTGTACAGATGTGTGTGTGTGTCATGTGTTCTGTTGGTGCTTACAGGTGTACAGATGTGTGTGTGTGTGTGTGTGCCGTGTGTTGTGTTGGTGCTTTCAGGTGTACAGATGTGCGTGTGTGTGTATGTGTATGTGTGTGTCATGTGTTGTGTTGGTGCTTACAGGTGTACAGATGTGTGTGTGTGGGTGTCATGTTGTGTTGGTGCTTACAGATGTGTGTGTGTCATGTGTTGTGTTGGTGCTTACAGGTGTACAGATGTGTGTGTGTGTCATGTTGTGTTGGTGCTTTCAGGTGAACAGATGTGTGTGTGTGTGTGTGTGTCTGTATGTGTATGTGTGTGTCATGTGTTGTGTTGGTTCTTACAGGTGTACAGATGTGTGCGTGTGTGTGTGTCATGTTGTGTTGGTGCTTACAGGTGTACAGATGTGTGTGTGTGTCATGTGTTGTGTTGGTGCTTACAGGTGTACAGATGTGTGTGTGTCATGTGTTGTGTTGGTGCTTACAGGTGTACAGATGTGTGTGTGTGTGTATGTGTCATGTGTTGTGTTGGTGCTTACAGGTGTACAGATGTGTGTGTGTGTGTGTGTCATGTGTTGTGTTGGTGCTTACAGGTGTACAGATGTGTGTGTGTGTCATGTGTTGTGTTGGTGCTTACAAGTGTACAGATGTGTGTGTGTGTGTGTCATGTGTTGTGTTGGTGCTTACAGGTGTACAGATGTGTGTGTGTGTGTCATGTGTTGTGTTGGTGCTTACAGTGTACAGATGTGTGTGTGTGTGTGTGTGTGTCATGTGTTGTGTTGGTGCTTACAGGTGTACAGATGTGTGTGTGTGTGTGTCATGTGTTGTGTTGGTGCTTACAGGTGTACAGATGTGTGTGTGTGTGTGTGTGTTGGTGCTACAGGTGTACAGATGTGTGTGTGTGTCATGTGTTGTGTTGGTGCTTACAGGTGTACAGATGTGTGTGTGTGTGTGTCATGTGTTGTGTTGGTGCTTACAGGTGTACAGATGTGTGTGTGTGTGTGTGTCATGTGTTGTGTTGGTGCTTACAGGTGTACAGATGTGTGTGTGTGTGTGTGTGTGTCATGTGTTGTGTTGGTGCTTACAGGTGTACAGATGTGTGTGTGTGTGTGTGTGTCATGTGTTGTGTTGGTGCTTACAGGTGTACAGATGTGTGTGTGTGTGTGTGTGTCATGTGTTGTGTTGGTGCTTACAGGTGTACAGATGTGTGTGTGTGTCATGTGTTGTGTTGGTGCTTACAGGTGTACAGATGTGTGTGTGTGTGTGTGTCATGTGTTGTGTTGGTGCTTACAGGTGTACAGATGTGTGTGTGTGTGTGTGTGTGTCATGTGTTGTGTTGGTGCTTACAGGTGTACAGATGTGTGTGTGTGTGTGTGTCATGTGTTGTGTTGGTGCTTACAGGTGTACAGATGTGTGTGTGTGTGTCATGTGTTGTGTTGGTGCTTACAGGTGTACAGATGTGTGTGTGTGTGTGTGTCATGTGTTGTGTTGGTGCTTACAGGTGTACAGATGTGTGTGTGTGTGTGTGTCATGTGTTGTGTTGGTGCTTACAGGTGTACAGATGTGTGTGTGTGTGTGTGTCATGTGTTGTGTTGGTGCTTACAGGTGTACAGATGTGTGTGTGTGTGTGTCATGTGTTGTGTTGGTGCTTACAGGTGTACAGATGTGTGTGTGTGTGTGTGTCATGTGTTGTGTTGGTGCTTACAGGTGTACAGATGTGTGTGTGTGTGTGTCATGTGTTGTGTTGGTGCTTACAGGTTGTACAGATGTGTGTGTGTGTGTGTCATGTGTTGTGTTGGTGCTTACAGGTGTACAGATGTGTGTGTGTGTGTGTGTCATGTGTTGTGTTTGGTGCTTACAGGTGTACAGATGTGTGTGTGTGTGTGTCATGTGTTGTGTTGGTGCTTACAGGTGTACAGATGTGTGTGTGTGTGTGTGTGTGTGTGTCATGTGTTGTGTTGGTGCTTACAGGTGTACAGATGTGTGTGTGTGTGTCATGTGTTGTGTTGGTGCTTACAGGTGTACAGATGTGTGTGTGTGTGTGTGTGTGTCATGTGTTGTGTTGGTGCTTACAGGTGTACAGATGTGTGTGTGTGTGTGTCATGTGTTGTGTTGGTGCTTACAGGTGTACAGATGTGTGTGTGTGTGTGTGTGTCATGTGTTGTGTTGGTGCTTACAGGTGTACAGATGTGTGTGTGTGTGTGTGTGTGTGTCATGTGTTGTGTTGGTGCTTACAGGTGTACAGATGTGTGTGTGTGTGTGTGTGTCATGTGTTGTGTTGGTGCTTACAGGTGTACAGATGTGTGTGTGTGTGTGTGTGTCATGTGTTGTGTTGTTGGTGCTTACAGGTGTACAGATGTGTGTGTGTGTCATGTGTTGTGTTGGTGCTTACAGGTGTACAGATGTGTGTGTGTGTGTGTGTCATGTGTTGTGTTGGTGCTTACAGGTGTACAGATGTGTGTGTGTGTGTGTCATGTGTTGTGTTGGTGCTTACAGGTGTACAGATGTGTGTGTGTGTGTGTGTCATGTGTTGTGTTGGTGCTTACAGGTGTACAGATGTGTGTGTGTGTGTGTCATGTGTTGTGTTTGGTGCTTACAGGTGTACAGATGTGTGTGTGTGTGTGTGTGGTGTCATGTGTTGTGTTGGTGCTTACAGGTGTACAGATGTGTGTGTGTGTGTGTGTCATGTGTTGTGTTGGTGCTTACAGGTGTACAGATGTGTGTGTGTGTATGTGTTGTGTTGGTGCTTACAGGTGTACAGATGTGTGTGTGTCATGTGTTGTGTTGGTGCTTACAGGTGTACAGATGTGTGTGTGTGTGTGTGTGTTGTGTGTTGGTGCTTACAGGTGTACAGATGTGTGTGTGTGTGTGTGTGTTGTGTCATGTGTTGTGTGGTGCTTACAGGTGTACAGATGTGTGTGTGTGTGTGTGTCATGTGTTGTGTTGGTGCTTACAGGTGTACAGATGTGTGTGTGTGTGTCATGTGTTGTGTTGGTGCTTACAGGTGTACAGATGTGTGTGTGTGTGTGTGTCATGTGTGTGTTGTGTTGGTGCTTACAGGTGTACAGATGTGTGTGTGTGTGTGTGTGTCATGTGTTGTGTTGGTGCTTACAGGTGTACAGATGTGTGTGTGTGTGTGTCATGTGTTGTGTTGGTGCTTACAGGTGTACAGATGTGTGTGTGTCATGTGTTGTGTTGGTGCTTACAGGTGTACAGATGTGTGTGTGTGTGTGTCATGTGTTGTGTTGGTGCTTACAGGTGTACAGATGTGTGTGTGTGTGTGTCATGTGTTGTGTTGGTGCTTACAGGTGTACAGATGTGTGTGTGTGTGTGTGTGTCATGTGTTGTGTTGGTGCTTACAGGTGTACAGATGTGTGTGTGTGTGTCATGTGTTGTGTTGGTGCTTACAGGTGTACAGATGTGTGTGTGTGTGTGTGTCATGTGTTGTGTTGGTGCTTACAGGCGCAGGGACTCTCGCCCTCACTCGTGGCACTCCACCAAACTGGGAGAAGGTTCCTCTGAGTCTGTGGAGCACGTGAGTGGGAGGAGCAGTGTTCATTCCAGGTTTGGACACTTCACATCTCGCACACAAAACAGGACTAAACTCATCAAGAGAGAAAGAAGCAAAACTAAACTCCTGGTGTTTGTCCTCAGTGCGGCCGACCTCCTCTCAGGCCTGAGTTCTCCAGGGGGGGTCAGCTGGAGCCTGGAGAGCCTGGAGCCTCACACCTCAGGCCATCCTGGGTCTGCTCATCTGGGCTCACGCAGCTCCTCCTCCTGTCTTCAGCTCTCCTCCACCAGGTGCCTTTACAAACATGTTCTCATTTCACTTATTTACCATAAAAGCACTAAAAATATATTTTTTCACCTGCAGTTCAGTCATCATCAGAATAAACTTGCTATTCATATTTTTTCAGGTCATCCAGCAGTGACCTGCTCCACAGCAAGAGAGACTCTGCCTACTCCTCCTGCTCCCCCAGCCTCAGTTTCCCAGAAGGCCTTGGTGTTGACAGTGAGCGCTCCTTCTCTCTGGAGAGTATCCAGCAGACTGCTGACATGAGGAGCGTCCATTACAGGCCTCATGGTTTAGACCCTGAGAGCCGAGCCGGTCGAGTCAGACTGAGGGAGCAGCCAGGTATGGCCCTGTACTCACACAGCAGAGACAGCCGCTCTCTCCATGCCACAGCCAATGTGCGAACTTCAGACTTTAGTCCAAAGTGTGCTTACTGCCCTCAGCTCAGGGTCTGTAACCCTGGGCCGGACAGTCCACTTCTCATTCAAAGACATGCCTGATACATGATAGTTCAAACTGTTGAGTGTATAGAATAGATGAAAAAGTTCACTATTTTTAACACTATCATTTATGCTATGTTGTGTTTCTATGAACAGCGAGCGGAGTGTGTTATCATGGTGCCACTGAAAATCGACTGCTGAACCGCCACAGTCTGGGTCCCATTTGGAGTACTGGCCAGAGTTCCTATGAGAACCTGAAGGGGGCGCCAGCTCCTCAGCGGCGCAGTGAAACCTACACTTCAACTTCCCAAGAGCGGCCAAGCTCCTGGTCCAGTCTGGAGCACGCCCGCTCCCTGCGCTCTCTACGGTACCAATCATGGGAACTTCCTTCCTTTTTGGGACAAAAATGATGTTCCCATGACATCGGTTTAGTTCAGATCTGGGTTAAAATAGGTTAAAGTTGGATCTGGGTTAAAATAGGTTAAAGTTAGGGTTTTAGGTTAAAGTTGGGCAAATAGTGACTATGGTTAAAACTAAGATGAATTTTCCCCAAGAAGGAAAATTTACAGAATGAACAGGAGAGGACTAAGCACCAAACCTTGGGGGACCTTGTGACAGTGGAGCAGTGGAGGAGAATATGCAACAGATAAACAAGCAATACATAAAACAGTCATATGTGTTAGTGATTTTATTGCATTAGCACAGTGTAGCCTGGTGTATACATTGTGTAGATCTGCCCCTCTGATTAGACTTTCTCCTCAGGTGTCAGCAGAAAGGCTCCTGGCCTCACCCCAGCAGCTCTACACCGTCAGCAGGTACTACTCTTTGTACTTCATGTACATACAGACATCTGCAGTACTACACTCCGTCTGTACTTAGAGTCTGTACTTCATATACATACTTCCCTCCTGATCGTACAGGCTCATCCTCACATACAAGTGCCTCCAGCTTCCACTGGAACACTTCTGTAATGTTGTTGTTTTGTTCCAGCTAAAGGCTTGTACATGACTGAGGGGCAGCTCCACACTGTGATAGAAAAAAGCCCAGAAAGCAGTCCCAGCAGCAAGCCCAGACAGGCCCAGAGCCCAGGGCCCCTCCAAGAGCCCCTCACAGAGTCCCCTTGGCCCCCTAGTCACTCCTCTGGATCCAACCTTGGACTTTACCCAACGCCACATAGGGACCACTGGAATGGATACTCCCACACTTACCACAGAGCTCCAGAGGCAGAGCGGTAAAGCCTTTTGTTTCATCTGGGTTCTGCAAAATGAAGAGTTTAAACTTCACTTTTTACTTTAGATCCCTTAAAGACTCCCGTGATCAGCTGGATATGTTCTCGTCAGTGGCTTGCCTCGGATCCTTGTCCTGTCATTCAGCCCCTGCCCCACAGTCCATAAAACCACAGCGCTTGGACCGAGAGCACCCCCTGACGCGACAGGAGCACCCCCTGACGCGACAGGAGCACCCCCTGACGCGTCTGGAGAAGGCTCTGGTGGAGGTGCAGGGGGGAGAGAGCCCCTGTCTGTCTGTCTTGGAGAAGGTGAGCCGATTGGAGCACCGAGAGCGGGCCACAAGACAACAGGGCCTGAGCAACAGCAGGCACAGGACTGGCCCCAAGCAGGTACTCCCCAGCACTAATACAACCACTTTGAATTAAAACAGTGATGTGTTTTACTCCTCTACTAACTCATAATACATAATAGTACATTTTTACTTATATACTGTAGTGCATTTCATTACACTCAAAGACGCTTCACAAAACAATAACAAAATGAATCTAACTAACTATGCAGAAAAGATAAAGTAAAAATTGTAACTCACATTCAGATTAGGATTAAAGGATTAAAAGGCGTTTTGAATTGGGGACAAGTAGGAGGATGAACAGAATGAACCGGAGCAATCCAAGCACCGAACACTGGGGGACACCCTGGGACAGTGGAGCAAAACTGCACTAGTACAAGCAAATTATAAATATTCAGCTCTGTCTTTTCTGTGTGCCCTTTGATGGTGAAAAAAAAACAGACTTACTGAAGCATGTTTTAAAGAATATTGCCAAAAATAATCCCAAAAGCCTTACAAAATGTTTGTGGCGCTTGACTACTTTATTTGACAAGTAAATTGGAGGTGTATGAAACATCCAGCTGAGGACTGGTTCAAACCAAACCCTTCTCTGTTCTTCTTTGTTCTTTTCTGTTCTTCTGTGTTCACATTTGTGTCTTGACTTGTGTAGGTGGACGACAAAGGAACATCACATGGAGCAGAAGATGTGAGGAACCTGCCCGGTAGGAGCACCTGTCACACCCTGAGTCATGGAGGAGGCCCTCAAGAGAAGCACAGGTCAACACACAACCAAAGTCAGAAAGGGTTAGTACAGGCTCAGGCTGTGCTGAAGGATGCTCATGGTATATCCAAAATACACTGTACAACTTGAGGAGAGATGAAAGGAGCTTTTTGTGTGTAGGAAACACCAGTGTTACTGTGACCCCCAGTGGTGTAGTGGTTTAAGTGTTTAGTGCTCACATGGTCTTGTTACCACCTCTGCATCTCAACTTTGTCCCTTTTTCAAATGTCTCCACCGTCTGTCTCTTCATTTCACTCTGTACTTGTTGTGTCTAATAAAGCCTTTGGGGCTCCACACACCTTGACTGGAGAAGCCAAGCCCGCCACCCTCTGCTTATCGTCATGGGAGAAGTGAATGTATTCAAACTCCTTCTAAAATGAGTGGTCCTGTTTACTGTACACTGGAGTTTAAACAGATGGACAGTGACCCAAAGTTGAATTATTCTGAACCAAATTTGACAGGGATTTTCTTAGGGTGACCAAATTTCCATTTGTGAAAACCAGGACACCGTACCAGGGGGCGGGGTGTGGGGCCTCGTCATTGTCACTGAGCTGCTCTCACCTTGTGAAGCTGGACACTGAAACACATGTGCTGCTTTGTACACTGTGCACATGGCCTCCCACTTGTCTCGACCGGGATGGAAAGTGGGGAATTTCTTGTACAAGTCATTGTTAAATGTGCATTTGCGCTTCGGCATGTTGCAGACTGACCAACTCTTTGAGTCTGCCCGCTCCTTCTGAGTCACAGAGAGCTACGAGAGCTGTTCAGTTTAATGGCTCAATGAAATGTAATGAAAACCTGGACATTTGCATCACTTTATTAAAACGGTCAGGACAGGACATGTAAAAAAACTGACGTATGGTCACCCTAATTTTTATTGCCAGCTTGGAACTGCTACAGATGATGATGATGAGAAAAGCCTGAGTTTGGGGATATCCAAGGCAAAGATTATTAAAGATATAAAGTAAATATAAATCCACTGTGTTCCATTACCATAGTGTGTGTCTGTTTTCTCTTTCTCAGGTCATGCCAAGACCACAGAGAGTCTCAAACTCAAGTGTTTCAGTCGACCTCCTTCAGATGCACAAGCCTGCAGTGTGCCCCATCTGTGCCCCCACCGCCTGTGCCTCCTAAAGGGAACACTTACCTGGACAAAAGAGACCCCAAACAGCTGCCCCCACCAGAGAAGACCAGACCAAAGACACTGCCCAAGCCCCACGCAGGAGTATTCACATCTAGGCCCTCTGCTCACATGGTCAAAGCCCCAGTGCTCAACCTACCCACACCCGCACCCCTCCCTGCACCCACGGCTGCAACCCCTCCTTCAGCCTCTCCCCTCACCAGGATCTGCGGCCGTAAGCGTCTCACATGGGACCAGAAGAAGAGGTCCTTCTCGGAGCCTGAGTGCATGAATGAGATTGGACTGACTCACACGGACAGCACAGCGCTCCTCAGACGAGCAGGAGGTAAACAGTCTGTTCTTCACTCCTCAGTGCTGCTGCTTTAGGAGCACACTGGAGGATTATGGACTTGTTCTATTGTTGTGACGCTTTGACCAACCAGATTCAAACATTCACATGACATGTGCCTCACATATCACTCTGTTAGTAGAATTGATCTGAAGAGTTCTTGTGTGTACTGTCTGTAATGTTTGCTGTGATACTGTTCTTCAGACACCAGTGTGGCTGACCGCAGGAGGATGTTTGAGCAGGCGGCCCAAGGACTGGTGGGCGGGACTTCTGTTGTGGTGGGCGGGACCTCGGAACAGGATACACAGTTTGGATTGGAAAGGAAGTGCAGCCAGAGAAAGGGGCGGAGCCAGAGGAGACCTCACAGTGCGGTGCTCCAGCCTGACCACACTCCTGCAGGTGAACAGCAGCTAGATCAAAAAAAAAAAAAAATAAATAATAATAATAATAATAATTTAAAAAAGATTTTCATTGGTTTCATTGTAAAAAAACAGAATGATATGATCCATACTGTGTATGTGTGTATATATACATACACATAGATACAGTAGTACTGTGTACTGCTATGAATGTACTATGTACTCATCAGGAGTACAGTTCATTTGTCTATGTTCTGTCTACTCAGACTCCGTGGGCCTGGTCACCTCCTCCAGCCTGCTCTCTCTGCAGAACTGTGCCCAGGAATCACACCTCTTCTCTGGGAAAGGGACCCTAAGCTCCCCCCTGGCCCCTGGAGGAGAACGCCACAAGTCCCGCTCCACTGTGTTCTATCCAGGACGAGTGACGGCCCCTCGCGCCCCTGCCCTCCAACCTCCAAAGTACAAGACGCATAAAAACTGTCTAATGTTTGATGAAAATTATTCTGTTCTGTTCTCAATTCTTCAAATAATCCCCATCGTTCTGTACATCCTCATCCTGCAGCCTTGATGCAGCTGTGTCTCTGGGTGCAGACGTCCACCAGCCTGCCCCTGTGTCCCACAGCCTGTCCCTCTGCCGGGAGGTAGACAGTCCTCTGAAGAAGACTCCATCTGAGGACAGACCAGAGAGGACAAACAGATCCCTCTGCTCTCTCCCAGGGGGCGCTGTGGAGCAGGTATTTGTTATACTCCCAGACAGGGGACAGAAACAGTTTTGCCTCTTGACTGTATGGTGTTCATCCAAAAGGAAAATGTACAAGTAACCTGGCTATTTCTACTAGCAACTAAGCACTGTAACTTCTTACAGAATTTGAACTGAATTATTTCACCTGCCTCTATAAATCTTAAATAGTGTGTCTGAGCAAAATATGTCCCAGAACAGAAATATAGTATAAGCAGCTCCTGAGGTCAAACTAAGTCCACTGTGTTCTATCTGCATCTAATTTTAAAGTGTCCCACTGTTTGTTAATCAGGATGTGCATGTTAGAATGCTAGTTAATGTCTGCTTTACCATGACATAAACCTCACCCAGGTCCCAGAGAGTTGTGAAAAGTGCTTATAGAGTGAGACAAACCTGGACACTTCCTCCCAAACTGCATTTAAAGAATGACAATGTTTCAATCAGTGGATCTCAGTCAGGTCATGACCTGACTATGTTCACTGTAGTAGCCTTGCACCAGTGGGGCGTATACCTATACCTTTTATGAAAAGTGCTCATAAACTCATTGTGGTGAATGATACAATGCTCAGAATGCTTAAGGAAGAATAACATTGGACCACTGCAAACTAGTTTAAAGCCGTAAAAATCAGGCACTGCTCCACTGTTTTGTAGCTGAGCCTTTGTGTTTGTGTCACAGGCTGGAAGGACGCTGGCTGGACTCATCTCTGAGAAGGAGAGTTTGGCTCTACTCAGGTACAGGCCTCCTCCATCTGCAGGACCACCCCGTCTGACGACCAGCACCTGCCACCACCTCTGACACTCACCACCACCTCTGACACTCACCACCCCCTCTGACACTCACCACCACCTCTGACACTCACCACCCCCTCTGACACTCACCACCACCTCTGACACTCACCACCCCTCTGACACTCACCACCACCTCTGACACTCACCACCCCCTCTGACACTCACCACCACCTCTGACACTCACCACCACCTCTGACACTCACCCCCTCTGACACTCACCACCACCTCTGACACTCACCACCACCTCTTAGACCACAACCACCTCTGACATTCTCCTCTCTCCTCATTTTTAGTTGTTTTAGATTCAGTCCTTTCTAACGCTCAGTGATCAGCTTGAGGTTTTGTTTTTGTTTTTTCTGGAGATGTGTACAGCTGATCCTCTGTCCAGGCACATGCCCCAGTGGAGCTCAAGCACCTGTCCCTTAGCATTGTGCCCTTTAAATGTCCTCATGATCAACAGACATTTGTCTGCCTGTCACGGCTCCCAAAGTCCACTAGTGACCTGCATCCCTCCAATCAAAGCACACACATACTGCTGCTGCTCAGACTCAGACCCCAGATCCAGATCCAGCCAGTCAGACGGTCTTTTTGAGTTTAGGAGGAGCGTATGGTCTTGGGCATCAAAGACATGGACTAAAGTGTCTCTGTATTTCAGAGTTGCAGAGGGGCCTTCAGCAGCCGAATGGCTCTCTCCTCTTCCTCCTGCGGCCCGCAACCCCACACCAGGTACACACATACGTGCACTTTATTTGTAATTGTCTTGAGTATTTAAATGATGTGAATATTCATTAGGACCGGTTAATGAGCAGTACCTCCTACAAAAGACCTAACAGTTTTAACTGTTGAAAACTGTTGTTTTGAAATGTTAAAGCTGAATATGTCATCAAATTACTTACACAATTAATTACACAGTTCAAATAGGGTTGATAATTAGATCAATATTTTTGGATTTCCCCTACATGTAAACCCACTGTTTAAAGAACACATATGAATTTATTATTATTATTTCTACCAGATCTTAGTGTAGGAAACAGAGAAATGTTTGTTTTTTTCATTTTTTTATTAGGCATTATTTAAGTTTTTTCTAAACATGAAATGCTAAAGCAACTAAACTCACGAGCATGAGCAGGCCATTAACAATACAAATATACTGTAAATGTTTAGTTTGAATAGAAACAGTAGATTGTACCGGTCACAGATACAGACTCTGCAGTTCACACACGCTCCACATGAAGCACTGATGGATTTTGGTTTGGTTACAGATCCACTCTTGGTACCAGTCTCACGTAGGGAGCGGACACAGCGCAGCAACCTGGCTGCCTCTGTGGGTCTGCCCTGTCCTCTGTCCAACACACCCCACCCCCTGTCCGACACGCCCCACCCCCTGTCCGACACGCCCCACCCCCTGTCCGACACGCCCCACCCCTGTCCGACACGCCCCACCCCCTGCCCGACACGCCCCACCCCCTGTCCAACACACCCCACCCCCTGTCCAATATGCCCCACCCCCTGTCCGACACACCCCACCCCCTGTCCGACACACCCCACCCCCTGTCCGACACGCCCCACCCCCTGTCCGACACCCCCCACCCCCTGCCCGACACGCCCCACCCGCTGCCCGACACGCCCCACCCCCTGCCCGACACGCCCCACCCCGCTGCCCGACACGCCCCACCCCCTGTCCGACACGCCCCCCCCACCCCCTGTCCGACACGCCCCACCCCCTGTCCGACACGCCCCACCCCCTGCCCGACACCCCCACCCCTGTCCAACATACCCCACCCCCTGTCCAACACGCCCCACCCCCTGCCTGACACACCCCACCCCCTGTCCAACACACCCCACCCCCTGTCCAACACACCCCACCCCCTGTCCAACACACCCCACCCCCTGTCCAACACGCCCCACCCCCTGTCCAATATGCCCCACCCCCTGTCCAACACACCCCACCCCCTGTCCGACATACCCCAGCCCTTGTCTGTCACATCTAACCCTCTGTCCAACACATCCCACCCCCTGTCTGACACGCCCCGCCCTGGGTACAGCTCGTCCCCCTCAGATGGACGGGACACAGCTGCACCGGCCAGTGGCAACCAGTTTGAGGCTGGTACAGCCAATCAGAACATGGGTGGTGACAAATGGAGTACGATTGGTGGATCTGAAACAAAGCATCAGCCTCTGAGGGAAAAGCGACCAATAGGATGTGAGGACAAGGGCAGCGTTGTGCATGGAGCTGATGGTGAAAATGAGTAAGACTCTTTATATACTTTAAATTTCAACATAAAGAAACAATCTACGCTCTATGATTTAGAGAACATATTCTAAAACTACATGTTTTAGCATATGAATACAGGAGAGAAATCTTCCAGGATGAATATTAGAGGCAGTCGAATTGTAATTGTAATTATAAGAATTACTCAAATCAATTCTAAAAGTTATGTAATGAAAATAACCCTATTCTGAAAGACATGGGCCCGCATCCTGCCCCTGCAAACTCTGGGCTTGTGTACAGCTGTGTCTCATTTTCGTGCATGCCCTACTGACTGCATACAGCAGGGGGCAAGTTTTTTTTTATTTTTATTTTTATAAAGTGTCTATTAGATACTCCATGTTTGCAGGAGCAGAACGAGGGCCCATGTCATAGATAATTTTCATTATGACTTAAACAGTGTGATGCATTATCTCACATGTCTCCTTGTGCCTCATCCAGCTTCAGTCCCCCTGCACTCCCACTGAAGACAAAGCCCAGTCCCCCTGTCCTCCTGTCCTCCTGTCCCTCTGTCCCCCCAGCGTCCAGCCCAGATGAGGTGGTGCAGAACAGTCTGGGGCTGGACTATGAGCCAGTGCCTGTGCGGCTGCAGAGCCCAGAGGAGCAGAGGGTCCAGGAGCTGCTCCAGAGACTGGTGAGTGTCCTCTGAAAATACAGACAATATAGTACATGACCTACAACAGTCTCCAAATGAAAGCAACAAACACATTTACATTTTCTTTGCTGCTGCTGATCCAGTTTAGCCCTTATTTTGATCACTTTGGCATTCAGTGCTTACAGCACCTGGTGGTTGAGATGGGTGAATTAGAACATCGGTTCTCAGACTCATTATGTCCGAATACAAAAACATGATTTGATCAGCAAAATGGGCTGATCACACATGCAAGTAATAATCAGCATTCAGAAGCTTATTATTACACTGTCAGCAAAATTTCATTGATGTGACAACTTGTTAGATTTTGGTCAAACATCATTATTAAAAGCCTGTATTATTTTTTCAAATAATAAAATCATTTTCCTCACTATATCCAAGTTCGTGCGATCAGTATCAGTTATGATCAGTATTGGCCAATAAAAAATTCAGACCTGATCGACCTCAAAAATAATGATGCCACAGACCCACTCCACCGTGTCCCTCCTGTTCTACTGCTGCTGTTGGACTTCAGTGCAACATGCAGTATCCTCATGATGGGACAAATACAGGTCTTCTTCTATTCATTATATTCTTATTCGTGTCTCATGTATTCTCAGGTTCACAGTGATGGCTCTCTAGCACCTCTCATGGACGTGTGGGGTAAATCCACTGTTGACGTCCTACTGGAGATTTGTCCAAACAGCCCCCTGTTTGCAGAACTGTCACAGGAGCAGAGAGGGAGCAGCCCGCAGGACCACTGGTAAACACACACTGGCACAAGTATTCTCTCAGTCCTGTAGAATATGTAGTAGTTGTAGAAGAGAATGCAGAGGTGTCATTAGTAAAGCTTGTTTTTAATGGTCATAAAAGCCCTGATAAAGCAGGAGAGTGGAGAAAAAAAAACATTCTTCACAAAGATCATCTGTGTGCAGGAGCCGGGGGCCCACGGATCTGAGTTCAACACATGAGCTCATCTCACAGAAGGTACAGCCCTTTACATCAAATACCAATACTGTACAGAAGTGTTGTGTGACCTGTGACGCCCCCTAGGTGGAGCTGTGTGAAGCGCTGAGGAGCTGCATAGAGAGTTTAGAGCGGGAGAAGGCGGAGCTGAGTGCTGCGTTCAGGGAGCACACGGAGCTGGGGGCCAGAGTGGAGGTCTGGGTACAGGAGCAGTGTGAGGCTGTGCACAGGGACAAGTACCTCATGTTCACTGGTATGACACATGCTAATCTGAAACTAAAACTACTGCAAATATTTTTTACAAAGTATCTGGAATAACATACTAGAATGTTCTGGAGCAAGTGGTGAAAGTTCCCCTGTGTGGCTTTAGGTTCTTATATTATGGCTTTTGTTCAGTCACCCTCTCTCTCTCTCTCTCTCTCTCTCTCTCTCTCTCTCTCTCTGTGCTGCAGGTGACCTGGAGCGGGTGGTGAACCTGCTGCTGTCTCTGTGTGGACGCTTGGCCCGAGTGGAGCGCTCACTGGCCTCGCTGCGCCGACAGGAGCCTGCAGAGGGCAGCACTGAGCTCTGGGTAAGCCTGCAATACCTCTGTTAGACTAGACATGGATTTATCTTGATAAACTTGCTGTTCTTGGTTTCAGGACTCTCTTGTTCATAAGCGCAGCGTCCTCCTGCGTCAGACCCAAGACGCCCTGGAGCTAAGGGACCACCTGGAGCGGCGGCAGTGCACAGTGCACTCGTTCCTGCGCCTCAGTCTGAAACCCTCCCAGCTGCAGCAGTACCAGCACCTAGTCAGCTCCACGCCCGCTCTGCTCATCGCCCACCGCCGCCTGGAAGATGCGCTCCAGCAGAACCAGGAGCAGCTCAGTCTCCTCTTGGACACGCTGCCTCTGGAGGTGACTCAGGCTCGGGGGTGGAGCCGGGTGGGCCTTACTCTGTCAGCCACGCCCCTACTCCTCTTGCACTCACAGGCTCCGCCCAAATGGTACCCAAGCTCTGCCCATGTGGTACCCAGGACATCCCACCTAGACTGTCCTGTCACCGTGACGACGCTGTAACTGGAGCTGAGGAGATACAGCAGATTTCTCCGACTCATATCAATGCATTCACCTCACCATGTCTTTACAGAACCATCTTGACCCTCACAAATGGCCTCACTTTGTATTATTCATCCATTCCCCTTTTCATCATATTATGGGCTGGAGCAGTATTCAGACCACACTGCCACCTGAGCCGCTGCTGCAGGAGGCGCTGTTCATTTATCTGTAGGTTATTTTGTAACAAGCTCACTCTTCAAATGGAGCAGGAGGCAGAAAAAACAAGCTGAGCTTTGGATTTCCTTGTGTTCTAATGTAAATCCATTTAATGGCCACAGCAGTGCAGACCGTGTGTGACCATTAGGGGGCGCCCACCACAGAACTGTTTCAAAGCTACACTGTAGGCATTATTTATGCACTCCACACACACTGGTGTTCAGATACAAGTGTAACCACAGCTGCCCTGGGCTACACTGACATGGGTGAAGTGTCTTGCCTAAGGACTCTATTGTTTTTGCCCCTCCACTCCCCCTCCCTTCCCTCTACCTCCTCTCTCTCTATCCTACTTTTCAGTGTTCATGCCATTGTCTTTGTGCAGACCCTCTGCAGGGCTCTGTTCAGAAGTTCACTGAGCTGAATGTTCTCTGCACAATAAAACCTTTTTAAACTTTGTGTTCTGTGTGTGGCCAGGTAATTATTATATTGTGGGAACTCAAATCTGCACACACACACGCGCGCGCACACACACACACACACACACACACACACACACACACACACACACACACACACACACACACTCTTAAAGTTCAGATATGGATTAAAATAGGTTTGTTAGACATGCAGTAACTACGGATAAAGTTAGGAATCAGTCTGTTAATGTAATGTGCCTAAGAATCATGGAAACCTAAAGTGCGTGCGTGTGTATCTGTGCGCGCGCGCGCGTGCGTGCTGCGTTGCTGAGGGGAGAGAGGCTTATGTTGTGATGTTATACAACACATACGTGAACACGTGTTCCAAACTGCGTTATTGGCCCCGAGGAGAGCAGAGTGAACAGGCCCGTGTGCTTTTGTGTGTTTGATATGAGTCCTGTCAGTCCAGGACCTGGGCTCCAGTGTCAGTCACGTGCTCTGTGCGTCAGGTGAGGGCACATACCTGCGGTGGGCGGAGCTATGCGTGAGTTTGCTCCCGGACTTTGGCCCCGCACAGAGCAGCGCTATGGCGGTGGAGCTCACTCAGGACGCCGTGCTCTACTTCCTCCAGAGCCGCGGAGGCTCCGTGACCAACGCGGAGCTGCTGCTCCACTTTCGGCCCTTCCTCCGAGAGCACGCGGATCGGGACCGGAACCGCGAAATATTCAAGAGGTTTGTGAACTCAGTGGCGCGGGTCAAACAGGAGGACGGCGTCAGCTACGTGGTGCTCCAACGAAAGTTCCGCGGCCACGGCCAAGTCGTTGGCCCCGGTGTGAGCGGGCCGAGCAAAGAGGCGCCTCTGACCGCCTCTACTCCGAGTAATGTGCACCTCAGTTCGCTCTGGAATGTAGACAAACCCCGCAACAAGTGCCCGGAGCCCGGACCCGCCCAAGGGCCCCTGATCCTGCCGGCTGCAGGGATTATCCTCAACAACAACAATAACAACAGTGTGGAGCCCAACCTGAACCTGCCCCAGCGCAGAGTCTCACCGAGCCCTGCGCCCGGACCCTCTCCCGGACCCTCTCCGGACCCTCCCCCGGACCCTCTCCCGGACCCTCCCCCGGACTCTCTCCCGGACCCTCTCCCGGACCCTCTCCTGCACACACGGCCCTCACGATCCTCCACAGACGCTCTGAGGCTCCCAGCCATGCCCAGCCTGTGCCCGCCCCGCCGCAAGGACACACGGGGCTCCCTGAAGGTCCTGCCCGAATAGAAGCAAGAGTTGCTCCCGTGACACTCGTAGAACCCAGAGAAAGTGTTCCCGCCCCGGTGTGCTCCGCTCGGCCTGTCCTTCAGCCGCACACTGCTCCCCGCCTCTCCGTGAGCCCGGGCCCAGCTCCGAGCGTGCCCCGACAGGCAGCAGCCTCCGTCAGACCAGTCGAGCGGGATGTGGGCATGGGTGAAGAGCCTCTCCCGCAGGGACAGGTGCGCTCTCTCCAGAGCAATGCGCCACGGAGAGCGCGCCACAGGCAGAGCTACCGGAGCGCCGTGTCCGTGGACGAGGACGAGGAGGATGAAGAAGAGGAGTTTGTCCCGGACAGGAGAGCCTCTGCTCCGTTTGAATCCGTTGCGGTGCGGGGCAGGGCCGCAGGGGGGATGCCAGGGCGGGTCATGTCTCAGTCCACGCCGGTCCTGGACGCTGTCCCGGTCCAGCTCCTCGGTCCAGACACGAGCGCGAGAGGCCTGGAGGAGCGTCACGTGATCGGCCTGCGCGTGCCACCTCCCGTTTTGCCTCAGACGGTAAAACAACTTTAACATGACGAAATCTTTTGTACCTGTGTCTAATGAAAACGTTAAGTAAGAGTAACGTTACTTCAAAAAATATTACTCAAGTAGTAGACTAGTCCAATTACTCAAGGAGACTAAGAGTAAAAATGATTTGAGGGAAAACGTCTTAAATTTAGAGACACACCCATCCAGTTTATTCAGTTCTGATACCGATTTCGATATTACTGCTTTGAGTATGTACCGATATCTGAGATCAACCGATTCCAGGGCAGAGACTGAAATGGCATTTATTTCCTTTAAACAAAAATAAGAAAAAACTGTTGTGTGTTGTGTAGCTGCTTAGTTAGTATTTTAGGTACTAATATAGTACTATATATATATGTGTGTGTGTGTTATTTATCCCTCATAATTACAGAGCAAGTTTTGTCTAAATAATAGTCCATTGTGAGACTTCCTGTGTGTACTACAAGCAGAAGTAGGCAGTCAGGTGGTTGGGGAGCAGGACTAGACCTTGCAGCATGTCCCTCACAAACACTGACTGAGAGTGTGTCCACAGGTGTCCCCTGTGAGGACCGTCCCCCAGATCCGAGTTCAGGACTTAGACCCAGGTCCCAGGGGACGATCCAACCTAGAGCCCACCTTCACGCCACCGTCTGCGCTCACTACGAGCAACCTCTATGTAAGTACTGCACCTCACTGCGAAAGTACTGCACCTCACTGCGAAAGTACTGCAACTGACTGCGAAAGTACTGCAACTGACTGTGAATAATGCCAAGACTACTGGCTGCTGCTGATACCAGAGCAAAGATTGAAAATGACATTTACTTTACAATAGAAGAATAGTACAGAAAGTTCTGGAGCTCTCCTTAAGTAACAATAGATCCGGACTGTAGGGCCAGTATTACTGACTGAACGGTCCAGTCGATTTTTCTAGATTTTGTAGATTGTGCAGTTCAAATCTCTGTTATTCACTGTTCCATTGTGTGTGTCCAAGTGTGGAGCACACTTCACGTGTACACACACTGAACATTGGAGACACACACAATATGAACACTGGGCAGGAGTACACACAAGAATATTCATAAGTACATGGAACAGGGATATAACAGTAATCAAGATATGGTCATATCATGAAAAGTCTCACAATAATACAGTGGGCCATCACCATGTTTTGTATTACAATGAACTGTGAACTACATAGACCATGATGCTTTGCTCTGGTTCAGAGCAGACTATATGAAGAAATAACTGTTATAAGCTTTGGGTTATGACTGAACCAAAGAATCAAAAGGAAAAAGTAGCATTCACAGTCTGGTTAACCTCCACAAAATATCTCAGTAAATATTTGACTGTGAGATTTGGAGATCATTACAGGATAAAGGACTTCTCCACTGGAGACACCAGGATGAGCTCATTACTCTCTTCTGTCAACTCACATCTTCTCTAACGTCTTCTACAGAACATTAGGCCATGATCTTCTTTATCATGAGCCCTCTGTTGTTTTTTCCCTGTGATTTGCAGGACTCTAGCAGCAGTGTGGAGCAGAGCCCCAGAGGCTCAGCCTGGAGCAGCTGTGAGGAACTGTCATACAGAGGTGAATTTTTCTCTCAGGCTCACCAAGGTTTAGGTATCTGATGGTAGAAGAACATCTCATTGTCCATGTGAGTAGGAGCAGCAGCTGGAGCAGCAGCAGGAGCAGCAGCAGGAGCAGCAGCAGGAGCAGCAGCAGGAGCAGCAGCAGGAGCAGCAGCAGGAGCACATGGGGCAGGTGGAGGCAGCTGGCAGCAGTCTGCAGACAGAGGGAGGGCCTGGCATGGTTCCACAGGTAAATCTGCTCTCAGAGGAGGCTCTATGTTGGATGTAGTTTTATCATCTGGTCTGCTTCCTGTATGTATTTAGCTTCCTTTAAAACTACAAGAATGACACTGCCGTAACCAGGTCTAAACTAGGACCTTTTGGTAGAACATGATGAAATCTAAACCAGAACTTTATGGACTTTATTGCACTGCATATAAGATTCTGATTTAAAATTTCATAAACCTACCTACCTGTGTCCCAGATATGAGGTACACATGTTCAAATCAGGTATAGTTTTTTTTTACTGGTAACAATTGTAATGCTGATTTATTCGTAATTACAAAAACATTGGACCTGATCATTTATGTTATAATTTGGTGTTTTGGCTTAAGACGATTCTCCAATCAGAAAGTAGAATGAACCTCACATGACTTTCTCATTTGAGTTGCCGTTTCAAAGGTGAAATCCAGTGTGTTTAAACCTAAAATGTGTCTCTCTGATCTGACGGTCACTCCCTAAAACCCAGCACCTGCACCAGTCATGAGTCAGTGCTAGTGCAGCCTCTGCAGCTCAGGGAGGGAATTCTGGAGGTTCTGAGCTTCACATGAGACCTGTCCATAAACTGAGAATGAGACACACTTGGATGTGTTTGTCTGCAGGTGGAGTGGGGTCTTTTTCAAAGCAATAAGAGCACAGACTCCTTTTTTAGAATGCTGTGTTGGGTTGACATGGTTTTAATGATTACAGTACTTTGTGGTGATCTGTCACAGGTGACCTCTATGATGACAAGGAAGGGCGTGGTAATGACTCCACCCCCTCCCCAGCTCAGCTCCGGCCCTGGGTTGCCTATCGACTCAGCGGAAACCTGAGGAGCCGCATGTCCATGAGTGTAGGAGCAGACCTGGACCAGATGATGGACGAGGAGGACCGCAGAGGTACACACACCCCCTTAACCTCGAGAAACTAGCCTCAGAACACACTTATACTTAAACTACTCACATGGATCTGAATCACTAGGCTGAGTTCACGTAATGTCACAATATTCTAGAATCCATTTTGGCCGTTTGCAGAGGGGAATCAGATGGAAAGTCCCCCTTTATAAAAGTTAGTTAATCTATATACATATAAATAAAAATTTAAAAACATTTTATCATTATATATAATATATTGTATTAATTACACACACACGTTACAATATATCTCAACACATTTGTTCATACATACAAACACAACATGTAAAACTGATGCGATCTCAAACACATAAGTAAATACAGTGTGTCTAATCATAATAGGAAAAGTTCACCTCGAGGGACACTGCCTCAAACTCATGTGTGCTCAATAAATGTGCTACGACTATTTCAGGATTTACCTTTAATATTTCAGTGAAATACAGGTTTGATGGCAGCAGGTAAGGAAATAATTAATATTTCTTCCCAAATCAACAGTTACAGGTGTTGTAGGACATGGGAAACAAGAAAAAAATATTTTAAATGTGATTTCATAGTAAGCAAATGAGGATTATATTGATATAACATAGTAAAAAAATGTGTGCCGCTTCAGGAAGATCTGTGGAACTGTCGGATCACACATTTGTTGATTTGCACTGTTGGGAAAGTGACTTCAAACTGTAATGTGTTAATTATGACTTGTTACTGTCATTTCAAAGGAATCTGTTACATTACAATATTACTGCATTTAAAATTAAAAACATTACACGACTACTGCAGCACTTTTAAGTTACCAAAAGAACTGTCGCTGACTGTCAAGTAACAATCAGCAAGCGTAGATGCCGAAATTTTGTGCCATATAGGGACTGAACCGAGGACTGAACCGAGGACTGAACCGAGGACTGAACCGAGGACTGAACCGAGGACTGAACCGAGGACTGAACCGAGGACTGAACCGAGGACTGCCGCTGCGAGACCCCCAAGCAGGTGGAGCAGGGTGTCCGCAAAACGCATTTGGGCGTCAGCTGCAATTAGCCCCGTGGGTGCAGAGTTCTGCGTCGGTTCTTTCGCCCATGGTCACTTGACGGATTACGCAGGCAAACCTCAGGTTTGGGGTTCCGACACTCGGAATCACAACGATGGCATTTCACCGCTGCTGATATCGTGGTGATGTTACCGAATTTGTATGATGAAAAACCCACCACTTCAATCCAGGTTAAAAAAGCAATGTAACAAGCATTACTGACATTTGTACCAAGTAAAATATTAAATTTTTTTCCCTGTAATGCCACATTACTGTGTTACAGCAAAAAGCAAGGCACTACAGTAGTTCGTTACTTTTATAACGCGTTACTCCCAACACTGTTGATTTGTTTCATATCTATAATTCCTGGGCCTATCCACACGAAACAAAAACTGGCACGAAGTTCAGTGTCTTCTGTCAGGAGAGATACAAAAGTCAGATTTTTTTTTACAACACCTTCAGAAAGTGGTGCTGATATTCAACTCCAAAGATGTGATTGTTGGCAGCTGAAAAGACTTTAAGAGTAGTTGTGCTTCTAAATTGTGTATAAGGTGTTTACATTGCACTGTCTTTTTTTTTTTGGCAGTTTTCAGGTCCATCTGTGATATTGTGGTAAAATATGCCTAAAAATAGGTGTGTCCTGACACGTCTGTGATTTCAGGTACAAACACCTGCGGGGGCGGAGTTTGAAGTGTAGATACCTGTTAGACCAATCGCACTGCTCCTTCTACCTCCAGACCCCGCCCTCCTCCCCCTTTAGTCCTCCAGGTTTAGCAGCTCTGTTTGAAATGTGGTTGAGTTGGTTATTCTCAGTTTATTCCAGTGTTTATTCAAGTGTTTCCAAGTGTTTATTCCACCTTAAAGTACATAAGATGAATATGAGAAATTTGTGGCGCTGACCCAAAATAAATAATGATAAGGCTCAACATTTGTGGATCAGAACTTGAGAGATTTCTTTCAAATAATTCTTTCAAAGCATCAAAAGTTATTTTGATACTTTCTTGCTGATGTCATCAATGTTCTATGTGGGTGTGATGCTAATTGTAGGCACTGCTAAGCAAGTTAGACTTTAATCTGAGCTTCATTTTAACACAATCTGACAATAAAGAGCTGACTTAGTTGGATCTACAACAGGTGAACCGTCTCTCACGCATACCACTACAGTCATGATCTAGTTAGCATTAGCCAGCAGTTTTTCAGTTAGTCACTCTCCCCTTTTTGTCGTTTTGATCACAGGCTGTCTATCTGTCCATGCAGATTCATTTTCAGTTTCCTTGCAATCTTAAATTTTTTGGCAGTGTTTGCTAATGTGTGCATGGTAACCATGGGAACTGCTGAACATTTCACCATGGAGATATATGTAGAACACCCCCAGCATGATGTCACTGCAAAGTAGAGCCCTGCCCTCCATCTGAAACGAGGATGTCATTAAATTGTACAATAGTTGTTCTACAGACTGACAGTGTGGTTGGTTCACAGCTCTGGGGGGCAGTGAGGCGGCGCGTCTCCACCGGCTGCACCTCATCTCGTCCTCCCTGAACCTGAGACAAATGTCCTCGTCCTCCCTGTCCTCCCTGTCCTCCTGCTGCACGCCGCCCCGCTCCCACAGCCTGGCTGACCTCACCGACAGAGAGCCCCAGAGAGAGAAGAGGCGTCTGAGCTGCACGCCGCATCACGAGGGCCACAGCAGACAGGTGACGCACACTTACACACGAGCACATACACACAAACACATACATACGAGCGCATACACACGAGCGCATACACATGAGCGCGTACACACGAGCGCGTACACACGAGCGCGTACACACAAGCACATACACACAAACACATACACACGAGCGCATACACACGAGCGCGTACACAGGAGCGCGTACACACGAGCACGTACACAGGAGCACGTACACACGAGCGCATACACACGAGCGTGTACACACAAACACATACACACGAGCGCATACACAGGAGCGCGTACACAGGAGCACGTACACAGGAGCGCGTACACACGAGCGCGTACACACGAGCGCATACACACGAGCGCATACATACGGGCACATACTTACGTACACATACACAGTATTGTCAAAAGTGTCAAATATCAGATTGTAAATGATACAAAAATTAGTATCGAAACTAGATACTGACTTGAGCAAGTATCGATACTAAAAAAGTCCCATGAACAGCACAGAAATGAATCTGAATGTGTTTAGAATGATGTTGATGTGTATGAGAACAAGTGTAAGAGCACATAGACTAGTACACACACATGGACCTACTGCACCACAGAGGATCACACACATATAAGACACATGGGAATATAAAGAAGTTCTACCATTTAATGTGGAAAATCACATTCTCTTGTCTAAAGAGTTTTTTCTTATCATAGTATTTGAATTAGGACTGAGTGTCGACTGTTCCTTAGTATCAAAATTGAGTTTGAAATGTTCGTATTGTAACAGCATGAACACACACGTACACACACGTACACACACACGTACACACACACGTACACACACATGTACACACACACGTACACACACGTACACACACATACACACACACACACACGTACACACACACACGTACACACACACACACGTACACACACACGTACACACACATACACATGTACACACACGTACACGTACACACACATGTACACACACACACACACGTACACACGTACACATATACACACACGTGTACACACACACACACATACACACACACATGTACACACACGCACACGTACACACACACACACACACGTGTACACACACACACACGTGTACACACACACACACACACACACACGTGTACACACACACACACCAGGAGAACAGGAGCAGTGGGCCCTGCACACTTGTACAGTTTGTGACGCTGTTGTCCCCTGTTGTCCCTTGTGTGCAGAGCCAGGTGCCTCTGGAGCAGCGTGAGCACCTGTGGCTGGTGAAGGCGGCCGAGGGGATGTGGCCCGACATCTACTCCCTGTTCAGAGAGGAGCCCTCCCTGCTCCACCGGAGGGACTTCATCTCTGGCTTCACTGTCCTGCACTGGATCGCCAAACACGGAGACCACCGTGTCCTCAACACACTCTGGTGAGTCGTCCCTGTGTCCTTCTCCTGCTGTGTCCTGTCCTAGTGTCCTCCCCCTGTCCTCCTGCTGTGTCCTGTCCTAGTGTCCTCCCCCTGTCCTCCTGCTGTGTCCTGTCCTAGTGTCCTCCCCTTGTCCTCCTGCTGTGTCCTGTCCTAATGTCCGCCCCTTGTCCTCCTGTGTCCTGCTGCCTCTCTGTTCTCGTGGCTCTGACCTCTGTGCTGTCTCAGGTACGGTGTGGAGAAGGCGGGGCTGATGTTTGACACAGATGCCCAGTCGTCTTGTGGGTACACTCCTCTGCACATCGCTGCCATCCACAACCACAAAAACATCATGCGGCTGCTCGTCAACAAGTTTGGAGCCAGCGTGAGCGTGCGGGACGCGTCGGGGAAAAAGGCCTGGTCCTACCTGCCCCCGGGCAGCCCCCCGGACCTCTTCCAACTGCTGGGTGCCCCTGCCAAAGCTGCCCTGGCACAGACGGAGGTTGTTGAAACGTGGGCCGCCCCTCAGACCCGCCCACAGTCACAGAAGCGCCGCAGACGGCACCACCTCTCGTCGGCCTCCGGGCAGCGCCCTCTGCCTGGAGAAGCCAAAGTCAAGAGGACCAGCTCTCTGGCAGCTTTCCTCAAACACAAGTCCCTGCAGAAGGTCAAGGGCGAGTGGGCCATCTGAGGAGGCTTCTGCTGTGGACTTCAGGTCTCTACTGCTGCACACTCAGGGCCGCACCTGCCCTATAACCCACTCTCTGGGCCAGCGCTGGGAAATAAGTGAACACATGTACTGAGAATATGTATCCAGAATACTTCTTCTGAGTAACTGTATTCCAGGACACTTTTTGGTTTGGCGATATTCAGAATACAGTTACTTTTCTAAAATCAAAGGAGTACATTGTTGTACTTGATTACACAGTTTAAGCTGTTAAATCCTATGTTGTGTTTTTACACTGTAATTGAAATGCAACTGGATGTAAAAGTATTTTATGTATTCAGAATTCAGTACTCTTGATAAGGCTGTGTATCTGAATACGCTACAAGACATTTTACTGCAGGTTTTCAGTATTCTGTATCTAAATATTTTTTCAAAGTATTGTTTGCGTCAGTGCTCAAGGCCCAGCACACAGACTGCTATCACCTCCTCTGGACTCATCTGTAGCTCCGCCCACACTGACCTGTGTGTGTCCAGGGACTGAGGTCAGAGGTCAGATGATTGAGCTGTGACCTGTGCTGTGTCCAGTCTGAGCCGTGCACGACACACCACACAACAGGTCTGTAAGAGGAACCCAGAGCTCTGGGACTGTCCCACACCAAAGCACACTTTCTATGATTGTTTTTGTGTTAAAAGTATTACAGTGAGCACACACTGAAGGCACTGGACACACTGAACTGAAATGGATGCACTTTAAATGATGCATGTGGCTGGTGAACGTGTGGAGACACTGTGGTGAATGGGTGAGTCTGTAGATATTAGATGTATAAAGGTTTCAGTCTCTTCGGCTCGTGTGATTTTTACATGATTCTACAAGAACCTGAGCTTTAAGGGTCTGTCCTGTTTACACCAGTCAAATATTTGGACACTTTTCTTTTGTTGACTTTTATTTCCATGATTATTTACACTGTAGATTCTCACTGAAGGCATCAAAACTATGAATGGACACATATGGGACGTAGTGATCACAAACTCCCGAAGTTTATATTTTAAATTCTTCAAAAATAGCCTTTACCTTCATACACCCGACAAGGCACACACGTGCAGTGAAAACCATTTCAGGGGACTTAATCATGAAGCTCAACCTTCAAGGTCAACTTTTTTTTTGCTACTTGCTTCATTTTTTACATCTTCATTTTGAATCTAACATAAAAGCAGTAAACATAAAGGAAAACCAGTGAATGAAGATGTGTCCACACTTTTAACTGCTAGTGCATCTTGTACAATTGTTTAAACAACTCTGCCAGAGGTTTTAGTGATTTTCTGAAGAGTCATGAGTAACACACGTTCCCCTGCGAGGGCAAACTAATCACCTGTGAGGGAAGTCGTCATAGTGATGGAATGTCCTCCACAGCACAGAGCACTGTTGTTTGAATACAAGGGAAGCTCAGCTGTTGAAATGTTTGCCGTTTTCATAAATGTCAACATGGAACTGTTTTCAAAGTCTGTGAAAGCATCTCCTGTAAAGATATTTTTCACAACTGTTAATGTCAACACCAATGATATGAAAATAAACAACAAATGTATGGCATTTATCTATCTCTCTCTATATATCTACGCACGCACACACACACACACACACACCCACACATTACCTCAACTGGTAAGTCATTGGACTTTCACATGGGCGACCTGGGTTCAAATCCCCCCTCTGACTAAGCTAACCAGGGGTTACATGAACAGTCATCAAATGGTTATTACGATACCCACATTCCAAGTTAAAGGCCAAACAACTAGTAGCTCAGTGTTGCTATCACAACTAGAGATTGACAAGGTACAACACAAATGCTACGGCAAGGGGGAGCCAGGACGCCAGGTCAAGAGGGGAGTTAACACTAACTCCCCAACCAGAGATTGGGTATGAAGCCCCAATAAGTACCACACTGTGTGAGGCAGTGACTGACTTATAAGATCATGGCCTGAAAGAAGAAGATGTGAATGCAGCACTGAGAGTGATCCTTACCATGACAATGGTAATGCAATGAAAAAGCCAAGGATATACTCCATACCTGAAGCACTCAAATATATAAATATAAATGCTAAAAAAACTAAACATGAAGAATAGAATTCCTTTAATTAAAACATTCACATACTGTACAGAATAAAACAAAGGAGCAAGTCCCATTTGGTCCATGTGCAGGTATCATTGTCTGGTCTCATACAACACAACAGTCTGTGTTTAATGTGCCACAGGCACAATGCTAAAGGCTAGAGCATAAGCATTCACTTTCCACGATTCTAAAAGTGAATCATCTGTGGAAATGTAGCAGTTCATTTATCAGCAGATGGTCTGTGGATGTCTACAGGTCACATGATGCAGGTCCCGTCGTGCAGGTGTGTGATGGCTCCCCTCTGCTGTGTGAGGTGGAGCACGTCCTGGAAGCCCATGCTGAGGCCAGACATGTGCTGAAAGTACGCCTCCTTCTCCACCTGCACCGACAGGTTGTTCACTCCTGCATCCTTCAGTATGGAGGTGACCTGCAGCACAGAGCAGCAGTACATTCATCATTCATGTTCTCTGTACAATATGTGTGCTACAAGTCTCTGTGTGGAGGAGTCTGAAGTGCAGCTGCTCAGATACACACCTAAACCCTTTCACATCTGTGCCAAATGTGAAGAGGAGGGATCCAACCTGACGAGACCACTGTGCACACATGACATACTCTGTGACACAGTGTGTCTCCACAGATCTGGCCTCAACACTGTTTTAGAACCAGACAGTGACAATGAGAATGGCACAGTTTCATTCTGTCAAAAAGTGCACATCTGTAGTTACATACTCCTTGCTTTCATTCAACATCGATCCTGATCCCATTCTACAGAAAAGAGCATACTTAAGTGCTAGACTAGGGTTTGACTAAGTGTGAGACGTAAGTATGACTAGTGTGACATAAGGACAGAGTTAAAAGTACAATGGAGGAAATTGTGTGCAGCTTGTGGAACACAAGTCATGTGGTTTTAACTGAAAAGAATCAAAGCAGACATTCATAAAGATTCATTATTAGTTATGTAATCTGATAAATAAAGATCTGCCAACGACCTACACCTGTTCTAGTGACACATCATCTCTAACAATAGACTGTGTAAAGAAGTGGACTAAGTGAATGTGACATCACCCACAGCCTTTGGCTCCAGCCGAGCTCCATATTTAGAATTCCGACCGCAAGTAGTTGTATAGCAACCAAAAAGCCAACACAGAGCGAAGCTGTTGAAGTAAATTAGTTTAGTAGGGAGTGGGCGCTTATAAACACTGTCAATCAACGCTGTTGCTAATGCTAGTGGAAGCAACCTTGGGGAAAGACCTGATTGTTCTGTTATGAACAATGAAAATGAAATGAAAACACCAGGATCAAATAGTGGGTCAAAACAAACAAATTAAGACCTAAATGATGAGCCTGACAGCGGCATTTACAGAGAGGGGCGATAGTTCTCCAATAGAACGAGCCAGAGTCGTTCACTTCCTTTTTGGAAAGTGGAAGCTAGTGGGTTAGATGTAACACCATATGTATTATGTCCATTTATACAATGGACATAACTTTACAGTCTAATGGTTTCCATTCTCTAAGTCAATGTCACACCTCAGACCAAACCATGGGGTCTTCTGGACTTTAGGACGTCCCCTCTCTGTTGTTCAAAGTTCAGACTCCATTCAGCGTCTACCTGTGGCTATTTCATACAGTACTCTTTTACACACAGACGGGTGTTACTCTTTTACACACAGACGGGTGTTACTCTTTTACACACAGACGGGTGTTACACACAGACGGGTGTTACTCTTTTACACACAGACGGGTGTTACTCTTTTACACACAGACGGGTGTTACTCTTTTACACACAGACGGGTGTTACTCTTTTACACACAGACGGGTGTTACTCTTTTACACACAGACAGGTGTTAGCACAAACAGAAAAGTGTCTAAAAACAGAGAGGGATGTGGCTGTGCACCTGCTGGATGATGCGCTGCTCCACCACGTCAGGCAGCACCTGCAGGTGGATGGTCCCGGCCATGACGCTGGCAGAGTGTCTCCAGAAGTGAGGGTCTCTGTAGGAGATCACACCCTCCATCTTCTCTATCTGAAAGAGGACAACATAACCCAGTTCAATACTAACGAAGAGGAAGAACACTACCAGGCACAAGTGTGGACGTACTATGTTCCACACCTGTATCACAGTACTGTATTTTTCGGACTATAAATCACACTTTTTTCCATGGTTTGGGTGTTTCCTGCGACTTATACATTAAATTTTCACACTGTCAGCCGTGAGAGTCTTGTGTGTGAGTATCTGCTGCTCCTGTTCCTCCTGTTCCACTGTCACTTGGCTCTACTGCGCATGTCTCCTGCAGAAAGAGCCTCTGTCCTGTCTGTATCATGTCAGTGTCTTGTAAGATTTCAGCAGATTTCAGACTCCTGAGGGCGGGGTCAGGTATGAGTGGATGTCCAGCTACTGAAGTTTGAAGTTTTCTTCTCGTCATTTAAACACTCACCTGCATCTAACACATCTGGATCATTAAGTACCCCACTCACTAATGTTCATTTAGCATCAGAACTTATTGACAGGTCGATAAACTCTTAATCATATTCTGCAGATTACAAGTTGCAAGTAGTGAAATATGCAGCCGAAAAAGGTCATCGAGCAGCAGAAAGAAAGTCTGGAAAGTTGTGAGGGACTGTCAAAAAGTGGATACTCTAAATGATGAACGCAATGAGGAAAACAAAACGAAAAAAAACAAAAAAAAACAAACAAACTGCGGGCTAAAAGCTAGAGTGGGCAGAGTTGCTAAGACGTGACACAGAGGATGAAGAATTCAATGGATTTAGTGATTTGGAGTGAGATGGAGAGTTTGTTAAACTTGTTGTGTTCTGTTGTTTATGCAATAGTTATCTGAAGAACTGTTCATATGTGACGTTAACATACCAGACGCCTGTTCAGCCTGTTCTTTTCTGTTCTATTATTACTATAACTTCCTGTTTGAGATTTCGGTTCCTGGTCTCTTGATTTTATAAAATCAATTTCCCCCAAAAATGTGACTTATAGTCCAGTGTGACTTATATGTTATGTTTTATGTTTTTTTCTTCTTCATTACACATTTTCTGTCTGGAGCGACTTATACTCCGGAGTGAAAACTATGGTACTCTAGTCCCCGAGCGTACCTTCTCCAGAGCCGTGTTGAGCTCCTTCTCGTGCTCGTGGGGCGTCCGGAGCAGCAGTACCTCACAGGCATCTTTGAGCAGAGGCAGCACACTGATGAAGATGAGCGTGGCAATGAAGAGCGAGCAGATGGGGTCCGCGATGAGCCAGCCGAATTGACGGATCAGGATGGTGGAGATGATGACGCCCACGCTGCCCAGAGTGTCAGCCAGGACGTGGAGGAACACCCCTGGACATGGACATGAACATGGGTCAGGGTTAGTGATAGAACAGCTGTCATATCAATCTTCCTTGGTATTCATGTGCTTAGTAATAATGAAAATGCACTGAATGCTCTAGTTAGTCAACACACGCAGTTAACACATGTGCAAAATGTTCAGTTTTGTTTAAAAATGTCACATAGAAAAGAGCCAAGAATCTGTGTGAACCAAGGTCACACAAAACAGAATAGACTGGGCAGACTGACCCCTCTTCATGTAACTGTCTCCTTTGATCAAAGTCTAATTAAACTTCTAAACTTTTCACTGGATTCTTTTTTGTTTTGGACTTTTTGTTAAATGACAGGACAGGATCACAACATGAGTCAGGGTTAGCATAACACCTCAGTGGACAGGACCACAGCTGCATTCAAGAGTCAAAGTCACATGTTTCTACACATTGCCTGCGTGAACCATGAGCCTTTGCTTCATGTTATTGTAGCTCACATTCAAAATTATCATGTCATTCATTATATTGCAACATTCTACAGTGTGCTGTATCACAGGGGCAGAAAATTCAACTATTTTTATATCCCAGGTGTGTAAGGGACCTTGTGAATAGAAGGGGCGCAATGATATTCGATATAATATTGAATTGTTCAATACTGGTCTCACAATTCAATACACGTTTTCGGACAATATACACTCCCTCCAAGCCCCCTGTGTTGACTTTTATTTGGTCTGAAAGCGAAAGTTATGACAGCGTCCTCCTCAGATGCAGCAGAAAACAACTCCATATGGACTTACAGCTGAAATATTCTAACAGAGGAGAGTTTTATCTTTCACTCACTTTTTATTTTACATTGATAGACCCAGAAATGATATTCACTTTGAAATAATTCGCTTTTGGCTTTACATCGGCTTTAATCAAATGTGCTTGTATTCACACCCACAACGTGACTCACGATATACACAATCTTTTTCTCAGACTCTGTCTCATAAGTTTTACGCAGAAAACAGTCTGTTGAGACATTTCTATGTAATATAACAGAGTTTGAGTGTCCAAAAAGAGAGTGGGAGAGCACATGAGCAGACTGTAGCAGGAGCTACTGTCTGTCTCTGAAAACATCAAATCATTATCAAAAAAGATAAAGTCTGATAGTAACTCCCCTAGTAGTCTATATTAAGAGTAGACTGGTTTATTATAAAATATAAACTAGCCTGAGAAAACTCTGTTCTTATTTTCACTGAATAAAAATTGTGAGCTGTAAATTATTGAACCAAATGAACTAAAACACTTCACATATAAACTCCAGCAGTATAGTACTTGTACTGGAGTGTATTGTGTGTAATGTATGTAATGTTTCATTAAGATCATATTCATCATACTCATTAGCAGAAAAAAATTACATGAGATTTTTTTTTCCATGTCTTAAAACGTGTCGAAATATCGTGACCCATGTATCGAGATATGTATCGAATCGTGGGGAAACTGTATTGTCGCATCCCTAGTGAATAGTTTTCAATCAAATGTATTTAATAGTTAAGGGAATGCCAGTTGCAAAAACTGTTGTTGTGTCCTTAGGCAAGGCACTTCCACCACATTGCTTAGTATGAAAGTGGTGTGTGTATGTGTGTGTGAGTGATGGTGGTGGTCGGAGGGGCAGATTAGCAGCCTCACTTCGTCAGTGTGGAGTAAAGCATTCGAGTGTCCAGAGAAGCATTATAAAAAAATGATTTTTTTATTCCATAATCCTGGATAAACTCACCTCTCATGTTGGCGTTCATGCCTCCTCCAGAGCTGTGTGAGTGCCCGTGCCCTCCGTGGCCGTGACTTCCGTGTCCGTGTCCTCCGTGTCCGTGTCCGTGTCCTCCATGGCCGTGCCCCCCGTGGCCGTGGCCTTGCTCGCTGTGGGAGTGGCCGTGGTGGGAGTGGCCGTGGTCATGTGACGAGCAGCTCTTCCCTCCGTGACTGTGAGCGTGGCTGAAGGCACAGATGCCCACCAGGTTGACCAGCAGCCCCCCCACTGACACAGGCTGGACACACACAAACACACAAACACACACACAGAGGGTTAGAACCAGAGGCAAGTGTTAGGCTGAGTTGTGCGGTCAGGTTGATTGGATTGGCTGTGTGGGTGAGTTGTGTCAGTAGGTTGTGTGTTTGTGTTGTGTGTTTGCATTGTGTTTGTGTTGTGTGGGCAGGGTGTGCTTGGGCTGTGTGCTTGGGCTGTGTGCTTGGGCTGTGTGCTTGGGCTGTGTGCTTGGGCTGTGTTCTTGAGTTGTATGATTGGGTTGTGTGCTCTGGTTATGTGCTCAGGCTGTGTGCTCGGGCTGTGTGCTCGGGCTGTGTGCTCGGGTTGTGTGCTCTGGTTATGTGCTTGGGCTGTGTGCTCTGGTTATGTGCTTGGGCTGTGTGCTCTGGTTATGTGCTTGGGCGGTGTGCTTGGGCGGTGTGCTTGGGCTGTGTGCTTGGGCTGTACTCACAGTGAGCATGTCCGTGTTGATATTGGGCGGGTCTACCAGGCGAGTGACCGACTCCACAAACACAAAGAAGGCTATGACCATCAGGAACAGGCCGTTTATGAAGCCGGACAAGATCTCCACTCGACCGTACCTGGAACACATGCACCGGTCACACCCTGCGCATCTTCTCACAGACAGAGGAGGAGGGGAAGGAGAAGGTGAGGAGGGGAAGGAGAAGGTGAGGAGGGGAAGGAGAAGATGAGGAGGGTAAGGAGAAGGTGAGGAGGGGAAGGAGAAGGCTCACCCATAGGAGAAGATGCGTGTGGCCTTCCAGCGCGTCATCAGGGCAGCGAAGAGCCCGAGCACCAGAGCAGAGCAGTCAAAAAGCATGTGGAAGCCATCCGAGATTAGGCCCAGGCTGTTGGTCCACACGCCGTAGAACAACTCCACAAACGTGAACGCCTGAGCAGAAGAAGAGCTAGAGTCAGATAACTGTTGGCTCTGTGGAGTGTTCTGTTCAGGGCTGGACAGCTTTGCTCACTACTGCTCAGTGCATGTGTCCATAATGTGTGTTAGAGAGGTGTATGCAGTCGACCTGACCACTGTGGGGAGGGAGAGTCAGGGCCGGGCCAGGCCTGAGCAGCTCATTTGCAGCACAGGTTTATGCACAGGAAAAGAGCTCTTATAAACTGATGAAGGCAGAATCCAAATTTGAAGGGATGTAAAGATATATAACATACATATTTTAACACACATTATGTTTCCTGAAGCTCAAATACAGCGTTGAGGGAAGACAATAATACTTCATCTATCCTTTGTAGATCATTTTTTGTTAGAAAGGCTTAAAAACCTTTAAAGTCCATAATGCTTTATTTGACCTCTAGTCGCCTCCATTACACAATTTTGAACATTCTGATGACATGTGATTTTAAAGGCTCTATACACAGTGTGAGTGCCAGGTGGTGTTATGTAATAAAGTGTTAGTGAGTACCAGGTTGAGGCAGAGGAAGTAGAAGATCTGTCTGGAGTCGTACTCCTCCAGGATCTGTTTGAGAGAGTCTTTGATGAAGCGGGGCAGGGACTGTGAGGTCTGCTGCAGCGCGTCGCCCATGAAGTTATAGAGAGGGGTGCCCTCTGGAGAATAGCCCACCAGAGTGCCCTTCTGCCCACGCCGCGACGGAGACGCCAGGATACTGGAGGCTGCACACACACACACACACAGATAGACACAAGCTCTTAAACATTGTGTCTTTCTGGCTTTTAGCATTTGCGGCTTTTATCTAAAATTAAATCTTTTTTATCTTTTAAATAATTTGAACACACATGCTTTTATCTCCTCTCGTTTCGTTTAGATGACTGCACTTTTGTCAGGCATCAGCCCCCATGCACTTTCTCGCTTACAGTTAGTCCAAAATCCTGCTGCACGCCTTTTAACTGGAACGTGAGCACATTACCCCGATTTTAGCATTGTTGCACTGGCTTCCAGCTTGTTTTAAAATAGATTTTAAGATTGTATTGTTTGTTTTTAAAGCTTTGAATGAACTGGCCCCACAGTGCATCTTGAACCTCATCGAAATTTACATCCCCGCGTGGTCTGAGGTGTGAGGGCCAGCTTCAGCTCGTGGGGCCTAAGACGAGACTTAAAACCAGGAGGACAGGACCTTCTCTGTGACTCTGAACGCTCTGCCCCGCCACGTCCCAACAGCCCCACAATGAAGAGTTTCACTCTCACCCTTTTAATACAGCATGAGTGGTGTGCTCCTCTGTGTCTTTTATTTATTTTACTTATTTACTGCTATTTTAAGATTTTATGTTTTTTGCTTTTATTTGATTTTTCTGGTTTTATTGTTTTAGGACTGGTATGACCAAATTTGAGCAATTTTACCTTTTTTTTGGTCTTCATTTTATGATCTCTGTGCAGCACTTTGGAAACTGTTTTGTTTGTAAAATGTGCTGTAGAAATAAAGTGGATTTGGATGTCTTACACAGGAGTTTGAAGCACACATTCATGATTTCCTTCTGCACTGATTTCCATCACTTAATTTTTGCACAAAAAATAGAATATTAAACATGGTCTTTTTTGTATTGATAAGAAGTGAAGTGCAAAGGATTTATGAGTGCAAAAAATAAGCTTAAAGAAAACAGCCTGTGCGTGTGTCTGCTATAATTCTAATTGATGACACCCGTGGATCATTATATTATAATTTACCGTATTTTCCGGGATATTAGACGCACTCTTAAGCCTCTAACTCCATCAAAAAACGGCCGCACCCCGCAATCCAGAGCACCCTACACACGAATCCACTCGGGTGTCCCAGCACGACTTCAGTAAACTACAAAGCCACACCACCCGCAGAACACACAAACACACACAGAGCAGAGAGCGACCGCACAGCGAAACACACCCACAGACACACTCATCACTCCGGAACAAAGGAAATGCGAGTGCAATGTGCCACTTCTAGACACAACTGAACAACTGAGTCACTGTGAACACGCCGACAATCCAGCGATCCCAGACAGCACCCTCCCTACACGCCACAACTGAACAAAGCCCAGAGTCACCGTGAAGGCCACAAACAAACAAAACCACTCACCCATCCAACTGTTGGGTTTCCTTTAAAGTCCAGTGCGGTTTATTTTTAAAAAAAAGTTAAAAAATAGACCATTTAATGCGTCTTATACCCCAGAACACCTAATAGCCCGGAAAATACGGTAGACATTTTAAATCATATTCATCAAAAACAGCTTAATAAAAGAAACAAGTCCACTGATGTGTACCAAAATGACTACATGACATTACTGAATCCTACGTGTTTCACAGATTAAGAAAATAAAATTGAAGAAGAAGTGCGTATGTCACTGTATGGCATTGAAAACGGGGACAATGTCTTGAATACAGAAGAATAAAGATCACTCTAAATACAACTGAGAGTGAGTAAAGAAGGAGATGGGTTAAAGCTATGAAAAGCTGATTTTGCACAAAACTTTTGAGCAAGTAGTCATAGAAATGAGCCTACAGCATGTTAAAGAGGTTTGTTCTGTGAGTGTGTCTGACCCAGGATGAAGAAGGTGGCGCTGACGATGACGCCTCCCGACAGCACGTGCTCGGTCTGGGCGGGGCCTCTGCTCAGGTTCATGAGTTGGTCGGTCAGGGGGTGTGTCCAGAAGTGCGCCAGGACCAGAGCAGAGAGCACGAGAGCCACAGAGCCGCAGCGAGCCACACGGGGCGCCTCCATCTTAGTGCTGCACACCGCCTCCACGTAGAATTCCAGGATCATCACAAACATGACCACCATGAGCAGGGGCAGCAGCAGAGACCCCCACGACTCCACCTTACTCTGGAGGACACAAGACAGGCTTTAAAGGGGGATACATAGATAGAGTAGGGATGTCAAGTATCAAAAATCTAAAACTAATCAATACTAAAACTAATATCGAAACTAGATACTCATCTGAACAAGTGTTGATACTAAAAAAGTCACAGAAATGAACCTTTCCTGACTACTGAGGGATTACACAGATATAAAGCCGCATGGCAATACAAAAGAAGATACGATGATGTTGAAAGTTAATTCTATCGTCTAAAGAAAAGAGTGTTTTTTTTTTTCATTATTATTATTATCCTCGTGGCTCATAAATCGGTATAGAGGATGAGAGGACAGCTGTAATTAGACACAGACAGCACACAGCAGACATATTTTTGAGCTACTTCTACAATATAGTACTGTATTGGGATAAGACACATTTTGAAAAGTTGAATAATAAAAACTAAAAGTTATAGTGAGCAATACTTTTATTATTATGCTCTATTTCTATTTAACATCAGTGAATGAGTAGTTGTAAACTACAAAAGGGAGAGTTCCGCAGAGGCCGAGCAGTGTGGCTGACCTCAGTGGTGGCCGAAAGGACTAAGACCCAGGGCAGCAGCACCGCAGACGACACCAGGTTGTCTAGGGCGTACAGACGCTTAGCCCCGCCCATTTCCACAGACAGCTTCCTGGACGCCGTGTGGAACGCCACCTTCAGACAGAGAGAGGCCACGAGCAGCACCACTCCTCCCTGAGAACAGAGAAGAGACGTGCTCAGATCCACCGGACTGCACCACCACCGGTACACACACACGACCAGCACCGGTACAGACGCACGACCACCACTGGTACAGACACACGACCAGCACTGGTACACACGCACGACCAGCACCGGTACAGACACACGACCAGCACTGGTACACACGCACGACCAGCGCCGGTACACACGCACGACCAGCACCGGTACAGACACACGACCAGCACCGGTACACACGCACGACCAGCACCGGTACACACGCACGACCAGCGCCGGTACACACCCACGACCAGCACCGGTACACACGCACACGACCAGCGCCGGTACACACCCACGACCAGCACCGGTACAGGCTAGTATCCAAAATCAGACCAGTACATGCCCACCGACTAGTGCACGCCCACAGATTAGTATACACTCATGTACTAGTACACGCCCACCAACTAGTACACGCTCTCACATAAGTACACAACCACGGATTAGTACACGCTCATAGACTAGTACATGCCCACCGACTAGTAGTATATGCACATGGACTAGTACACACTCATGTACGAGTATACACCCACAGATAGTACACGCCCATGGACTTTTGTATATGCCCACAGACTACTACATGCCCACCTTCTAGTAGTATACGCCCCCCGACTAGTATACGCCCACTGACAAGTACTAGTATACGTCCACTGACTAGTACTAGTATACACCCACGGACTAGTAGTACACAGTCACAGACTAGTACATGCCCGCGAACTAGTACACGGTCATGTAGTAGTATATGCCCACCGACTAGTAGTATACGCCCACCGACTAGTACACTGTCATGAAGCAGTATACGCCCATGGACTAGTAGAACACGCCCACCGACTAGTAGCACACGCTCACAGACAGATAGATTCTCAATAAGATTTTGGGGGGGGGGTACCTTGTGGTCAGCGACTCCCAGGAAGGCAATGGCGGTGTGGAGGCAGTGGGTGAGCGCGCTGTCATGGTGTCCCTCGGCTGGCCTCAGTTAAGGAGAATACACAATACACTCTCACACACACCTCTGTGTTCACACGTAACTATGCGTTTTTCCTCACTAATGATGACAACTTTGTATATCACTGTCAATAATATAGACAAACTATAACATAATCTGTGAATTTGACTTGTACAACGCATGAAGTACTCTACATTTACCTTTAACTAAGTGTTCTGCTCATTCCATGGGAGGGTTTTCAAAAGAGCTGTATCAGAATAAATATAAGAGCACATAGACTAGTATACACCCATGGACACTATGAACCTACTGCACCACTGAGGATTACACACATACAAGGACACATGGGAAAAGAACAGAAAGAACTACCATTTAATGTTAAAAATCAGTCTGTGTCTATTTTTATTTTTTTGTATTTATATCATCATTTTAGTATCATAACTAAAACTAACTCACTGTTTGGCCATGACAGTGTGATTGGTCCTCTGTCCTTCTGTCGTCTCCTGCAGTGAGAAATCTTGTGGTGATTGTGACTCCATGTTCAAACTGGACATGTACATTAGCTCTGTCCAGCTTCTTTCAGTTTAGGCTCTTGGCTAAAACCTTGCCCGACCTCCCACAGGCAAATTAAAAAAATGCTTGACCCATGCATTTGTAACATCGCACCTGGACTATTGTAGTTCTTTGCATGTCGGGCTGGACCAGGCTCCTGCAGCGTTTACAACACTGCAGCTTTGATACTTAGAGACGAGAACTCTGTCTTGACTTCTGTCAAGTGCAATTTGAAATTAAATTTTACACTCTATGGGTCCAGTCTGTTTGGGGGGGTACTGCGGCCCTGTCCTCCGCCCAGAGCTCTGAGATCAGCTGACCAGCTCCTGTTGGTTGTGCCCAAAACTAGACTCAAGATGAGAGGTGAAAGAGGCTTTTCTGTGGCAGCGCCCAGACTGTGGAACAGCCTTCCTCTTCCTGTCAAATCCTCTCAGTCTGTAAGACAGTTTAAGACTAGACTGAAAACTCACCTCTTTAATTTAATTTAATATGAGCCAGTCAGGTCATGTTGGTATTTTATTGTAGTTTTCACAAGTATTGACTTATCTGTATATCTGTGTATGTATGACTGAAGTAAGTAAAAAAAAAAAAAAAAAAAAAAAAAGGAAAAAGTTGTTGTTTTGCTATTATAAGTAAATTATTATTATAAGTAAACTTGAATTGAATTGAGTGATAACACTGTTGTGCAGCAGAGATTAAAGAGACTTTTTCAGACACTTGTATTTTGTGATCAGTGGTGGAAGGATACGGTGCTCCGCCATCTTGGCCATGAGGTCATCGTTGTCAAAGAGCAGCAGACAGATGACAGCGATGATGAAGAACGCAGCTCCTCGTGTCTGAAAGGAGCAGAGACAAATCAGCAGCAGCTCCTCCTCTGAGCAGCTCCTCCTCTGATCAGGCCAAACACAAGCCTGACAGTGCTGTACACTTACCTTTGAGGGCCCTCCTCCAGAGCTGGTGAACAGGACCCCCAGGAGAGCAATGACCACCACGTCACTGTGCTCCAGCAGCAGCAGCGTCCTGCACAACAGCACCAAGGTTAATACACCAATGTCATTTCATCTTATGGTTTTTGAGAGACATTTGATAAAAAAAGAAGTCACTGAGAGCATGTTATTTTTTTTTTTATGTCATCCATGCATGTTTTGTTAAATTGCAATCTTTCCCAGGTCTTATTCGAACCCTCTTTATGGTTAGCCATATGATCCTGTACAAAGCTCCACTCACAAGTCTCCATCATCTATGCTCCCACACAATCAATCTTCATAAATATATAAAAGTATGATACAAAACAATACGCTACAACTTGACAAACCTGTCGTTTCATAAGCATGATGCAGGCTTACTGTGTTGTGAAGGGTGAGTGAGTTAGCGTGGAGAGCAAAGGAAGGGGAGACTTGGAGTGCCAAAAACAAAAGTGCAACTAATGAAACATTTGAGTATGCTGTTTTGGTGAATAAGTATTTTGAAAACAATTAAAAGCCAACATGGTGATCTAAATATGTTATGTGTTAATATTAACATTTAAACCCCCATAGAAGTCTTTAATGGCCCTAAAATCATACATTAAGGCCCTTAGATCTCTCTTGTGACACCCATTATCATGATTGCCTGTAAAATGGATTGCTCCCTGCAACCATTCATGCACAGAACACAGACGTGTACAGTTGTATGTTCAGGAGTAATGTGAGTATCTTGGGTGAGTACCTGAGAGGTCCACAGAGCGTGAGGCCAAAGAAGCCCAGCAGAGACACGATGCAGCTGAAGATGGCGTGTTTGACCAGCTTTATCCACTACAACAGGACACACTGCAGTCAGGACACATCAGGGACATAGTGTACATGGACTCTGAGGGACCTACCTGCCGCTTGGAGATGGACTTTCCAGAAGAGAAGGGCTTTTGAAACAACAGCAAGATCACAGCACTCCTGAAATCACAACACACTGGTAAAGTAATATACCATTTTAACATATCAAGTGTAAACCATGTCGCTGTTTGAGAATCACTGAGAACAGGCCAGGGCCTTTAAGTCAAAGGGTGGATTCAATTTAGCCTTTGGAAGGACAAAAAAGGGTAAGTGGAAGACTTAAGCATTAGCATAACACTGGTAAGTGGACAATAACATATGGACATGTCACAGTCACACGACATGTGCCTCAGAGGCTGTGAGAGAGGCACTGTGATGGAGGAGTGAGGACTACTTGAGATGGAGATGGAGGCTGTGGCTGCAAGCTGTACAAGCCCTCGAACACAGCACTGATACTTAGTGCACCTCTGGGCTGGAAGTCAGTGTTAAAGAGACACACACACAGACATACACGCAGACAACACACACACACAGACATACACACAGACAACTCATACACACAGACAACACACACAGAGTAGATCATCGCCAGAACAAAAGATCACAGTCGGTGCCTCTGGCCTGCTGAGGGCCAGGCAAGTGTAACAGGCCGGACAGTGACACAGATCTCACACTCACCCTAGTTTGAGGATGAAGATGAAGTGGACGATGTGCACCACTTTGAGGATGTCATACGCCTCGAAGATCCCCACAGCTTTCAGCACCTTGGAGAGCACGAGCAGCACCAGGTACCTCGTCAGTCTGAAACACAACACACACACGTCATGATTTTTTGTTGTAACAGTAAAACCCTCTTGCTGTTCTCCATGAGTGTAATTGCTTACCTGGAGTCTGACGCCTCCACCATGCCCAGCTTCCCTCCTGACAGCACATTACTGCTGTACTTGTCCTCCATCTGTGCTTCAGACCACAGTTGACTGCACCATCACTGTCCTGCAAGACAACACAGCACAAGGTCAACACAATTTAGACCTGGTTTAATCCTAGTTTAGACCGCTTCAGGTGTAGTCATAGTTTAGACCTGGTTTAGTCCCCAGTTTGACTTGATTTTATCCTAGTTTAGACCAGGTTTAGTTTTAGTTTACAACTGGTTTAGACCTCTGCACTGTCACTCATCTGCAAGACAACACAGCACTAAGTTTAGCCCAGTTTTAGCCCTAATTTAGACCTGGTTTAGTCCTAGTTTAATAATAACAATCATGATGATGCATCAGTTTTATACAGCGCATTTCTGGACACTCAAAGACACTTTACTGAGCATTGTGAAGAATCCCTCAGTCGTCCAGGTAGAATCCACGAGGAGAAAAATTCAGTTTGTCGACTGGACAAAAGTTAGTTTGGTTGCAAATGTCTTCAACCAAACTAACTTTTGTCCAGTTGACAAACTGAATTTTTCTCTTCACCTTTGCTGAGCATTATTCATTCACTCCACACTTGGTGGTGGTAAGCCACTACTGTAGCCACAAATGCCCTGGGGCAGAGTGACAGAAGCGAGCTTGCCGGTCTGTCGTCATCAACCCCTCCAGCCACCACCATCACTCACACCCACCACATTCATGGCAATTTGGGTGAAGTGTCTTGCCTAAGGAGGACACAACGGTAGTTTTTGCGACTGGAGCCCCCCTGTGGCACCTGATTTTCCCAGTGGTCTCCCATCCAAGTACTGAACGGGCCGAGACCAAAACTATTTATTATTTTTATAAATGATTTATGCTCGGCATCAAAATTGTTCAATTATATCCTCTTCGCAGATGATACCACTCTCTACTGCTTCAGGTGAAGACCAAAGGCTACTTTTTCAAATGGTGGAGAGGGAACTGCAGAAAATGTTTGATATTAATAAATTGTCGCTAAACATAGAAAAAACTAAATTTATGATATTTGCAAAACGAAAAGTACAAAATCATGTACAAATTATGCTCAATAACACACCACTATAGACCATAATTTAAACTGGAAATCACACATAAATAAAATTAGAAATAAATTATCCAAAGTGATCGCAATTATATACAAATGTACAAAAAAACCTAAAATTGTGCACCAGTCTCTTTCACTTTATAAAGAAGTTTAAATGTTTAACTCTGGACAGATACATGAAATATGATACTTAGTTTGTGCTGTAGTACTTTGTTGTGCTGTTTCTGATTTGTTTGTTTCCTCTTGCTGTATTTATGAAGATGAACTGGCGTTAAGATGACGCTCTGACAAAGGAATAAAGGGTAGGCAGCTTAAGCTTCAGCCGATACCTTTTCGGTCTGTGTATGTTAAATATGACCTGCTGAGCTTCTGAGATCTGATGGAATTAGCCTTTGACAAGCCGGTATGGCCACAACAAACCTGGTTTAGTCCTAGTTTAGATCTGGTTTAGTCCCAGTTTGACTTGGTTTTATCCTAGTTTTATGGATGTCCATGATCCTGTCCATGATCCTGTCAGACTTTAAAGCAGGAAAGAGCAGACTCACAGAACACTGCGGATCAGCTGAGCCTGTAGCCGCGTTAGCTCGCTTCCATCCCGGCTCTGGCGCTGTCGTGGCCGCAGTGTGATGTCCGTGTGTGCGGGTTGTCGGGCAGGACACACAGACCGGACCGACCGTGGCTTCTAAAGTAAGATTAGATGAAGGTTTCCTCTGAAAGAGCCGTGTGGAGCCGGATCATGAGCCGGAGCCGCACCGGAGCAGAGCGTAAACAGTCCACGTCAGGAGTGTGAGTGCCGCGCATGCGCAAAACGTACACAGGCGTCATGGAAATAGCGCCTCTGCTGTTCAGGAGTTTAACTGTGACCGACATTGGCTTGAGCCAAAAGAACTGAACTCCCCAGACTGTGAAACGTTTCTGTTTTGTTCAAACAAAAATATAATAGCTAGTAATATAATATAAAAATAACTAGTTGCTATAATAAATAAATATTTGCATGCGAAAAATATTGAACTCAAAGTAGTAGGAATAGTGCAAAGGCAAAAGGCAGAAACAGTGCGTTTTGTTTGTGATTTAGTTCATAGATAAATCCAACCTGTCGCCTTTTTTTTTTTTTTTTTTGAGCCCTCGGCACAGGGTCTGAACACATTAAATAATTAAACCTTTGTATTCAATTATACTTCAATAATCTTTAATGTGAAAGTATTTGGTGTTTTTATTCAAAGTGTACATACAATACTGCAAAGTCACGTGTGTTTAACTGTGTAATTAATGAATTAATCATTGCATTTATATAGCGCCTTTCAAGATACTCAAAGTGCTTTACAGTTCATTATTCATTCACTCAACACTCAGTAATCAGTGGCTACTATTGTAGCCACAGCTGCCCTGGGGCAGACTGACAGAAGCGAGGCTGCCAATCTGCACCATTGGCCCCTCCAACCACCACCACACACACACACACACACACACACACACCGCTTCCATATTAGGCAATGTGGGTTTAGTGTCTTTTTTTTTTTTTTTTTTGTTTTTGTGGCACCTGGAATTCCCAGTGTCTCCCATCCAAGTACTGACCAGGCCCGGCCCTGCTGAGCTTCTGTGATCTGACAGGATCAGGCTTTGAAACGCCGGTATGACCACAAGTGTTGTGGAAGTGGAAGTGTGTGGTGTAACTGTTGCTGCACAATCTTGATTAGCACTAAACAGGAAATCCAAAGCTCTTCTATATCATTTCAAACAAACCCCATGATGACTCGTAGCTGGATTCATGAGCCGGTTTCACTTCGGTTTCTTACCATTAGGATTTGTTCACTCGACAGTAAGCAGGTACTTTTTATTATTTAACCAATCACTGTTATCTGGTCGTGATGTATGTAATGCGCTGCTAACAGGTCTAACTGATATATTAAACTTTTCCCAAATCCCGTAGGAACAAGGGCAATAACATCTTTCCCCTTGATAAAATTCACCAAACATTCTCTTTGTTCCGGCTTTAAATCCTCAAGCTCGGGAATCGTTGACAACACAGAATGTCTGGCTCTTTGCTGACAGGCTGGTGCCCAAACTCACACCAGGGGTTTGGCAAACAGTTTCTGATTCCTGACCTAGTCACTGGAGTAAAATGAAATTGAGCAGAGGAACTAGGTGGCACCAGCCTGGCTATGGTTTGTAGTGGTTGGTAATAATAAAATTGTGGATCGAGTGCATAATTGTTCTGCACTCAACCCTAACGTGAGTCAGTATAGTCACATTTTTTTGGGTGTTTTGGTCATTTTTAAGCTGCTTTTCTGCATTTTACTGAAACAAATGACAATGTATGCATTTACTGTCGGCATGGATCAGACTGGTCCAAAACAGGGACACCTGGGACATTTCTTGTGAATTAAAATGAACTGTAAAGCGCTTTGGGCATCTTGAAAGGCGCTATAAAAATGCAATAATTAATCAATTTAAAATAGGACAAATCACTGGATTTGTAGAAATCTATTGGGACATGGGACACGAGGACAATAGGGACGTCTGGTCACCTCACTTACAGGCTCAGTGCTGGTTTCTGTTTCATAAGTTTTTGAGTTTGAGTCATACTATTGCATATACATGGTAGCTCTACAGTGGTGTAGGCTGTAGATCTCTGGAGGTGGAGGGGTTCACTTTAGAGGGTGACCTTATTTAAAGTTCTTGTCGGTGGTGGGAACCTTAACTGTTTTGTTCAGCCTGTAAATAAAAGCTGCCTAATGGCTGTTGGAGCCACACACTGACTGACTTGCTTTGTTATTAGAGCTTGACCCTGTAGGTGTTACTTTAATATTCATACAATTAAACATCTCAACAATAAAGCAGCAAGGACCTATTACCTATTGTATCATTGAAGTGTACTGCAGCCACTGGGATTAAAACAAAAAATACATTCCCCTTCAGTTTTAAAAAGTGATCACACCACATCCAAACTTAGCCTTTAAATTTTGGTGTTTGCATATGGTGCATGTTAACTAACCAAGACCCTACAGAATACAGCCTACTCTTGATTTTTAAAGATAACATAACTGTGCTCTACGCCTCAGACTCACCCTCTCTTCAACTGTCCTGCTCCTTGAACCTGTTTGTGAGGGATCACCATTCAGACACCTTCCTCATCCTCGCCTGCCCTTTGGCTACTCCTCCTAAGGCCAGGAGAGGGCGCAGGTTGGCCAGGACATGGACAAAAGTGAATAAAGATGATACTATAGTTTACCTACAAAGTGCAATTATTTAGGCCTCCCAGATTTCCATTTGCGTTTCCTCTCCTGTTATCATCCCCTGCTTTGTCTCTCGGTCTAGTCTACTCTGGTGTCTGTACTTTTGAGATTCTCTCCTCTCAGCTCTTGATAACTTGATCTCTGAATGCAATTGACACCTTTTTCTCAACAAGAAACTCAGGATCTGGCAAACCTGAAACTTTTTCCGAGGAGGACATAGAAGATCTTCACCTATTCTGAACCATGATTACAGGTCTTCTGCTGATTGGATTAGTCATGGCCCAGATTTTTCAAAAAAAATTCAGATTACCGAGGTGGTTGTTCGGTGCCCCAACAGGCTGTCCAGACTGACATGGGAGGTTAATCTAAGAACTCTCAAACTGACTTTCATGAGACTTTTATGGAAGGTTCAGTTGCCTCGCACAACATTTTGGAAAACATCATGGAGAAGTTATAGGGTTGTCATCAGTGTTGGGAAGGTTACTTTTCAAATGCATTCCCCTACAGATTACAGATTACATACCCCAAAATGTAGTTTGTAACAGAATCCATTAAATTACTTTAGGTGAGTAACGTAATCTGAATATTTTTGATTACTTGATTTGTGTAGAGAAGCAAAGACTAGACATTGGAGCATAAGATGTTTTGTCTGCTAAAAGAAAATGAAAAGCCCAGACTTTATTGAACCAAATTAAAAATATTGACTGAAGACGGAGATACATCCACACAGCATGATTTAGTCCTGTTTTAGACCTGGTTTTAAACCTGGTGATGAGTGAAATTACCGGGAAAAAAAAAAGAAAAAAAGGGATATAGCCCAAAATGTGAAAACAGGAAAATATCTTTGTGTAATCAATTTATTTCAACCAAGTAACTAATCTAATTACCACTCACTGAAACAGTAACTGTAACCGAATACAGTTACTCATAATTTGTACTCTGATTACGTAACTCTGGTACATGTAATCTGGAGTTGCGGTTTGTTTCATTCACACATGTTTAAAACACACAAACTCTGCAGATTTAAGATGTGTTCTTCACTCACTTGTGATGTTATGTGGTAATACAGGAAGTGCTCCACTACGTTTTAAACTCTATACACCTTCATTAGAATCATTTGGATAATTTTAGCTCTAGAATTGCTGATCTCTACTGTAGCAGAGAGGGGGCTTCAACAGGGGTTCCCCCCACTTCATTTATTTTATTATTATTATTATTTACAACACAGGCAAGTCTGGCTAAAACACAGGACAAAGGCATTAAGTGGAAAAATATATGGTCCTTTATTCTAGTTAACATTAAAAGAGCTCATTTTACACATATTTTCTTAAAAGACACACAACCGACATAATTTGGGAACTCAAACCTGGGACACAACTAAAACCAAATTACAAAAAAACTGTTAATAGTGCAACAAAGAGAATTTGGAGAGTCTGAGAGCAGAATCTAGCAGCAGCAGCGTAATCTGCCACAGAGATACATCAGTTAATACATGCCAACAAACGCCACCACCCCCCAACATGCATCACCCAGAGCCTCTACCTGGTTTCTACAATAGCGCGTCAGGAGCGGCCGCCGTCTCCGCCTGCTCCAGACAACACCTTTAAATTTAAGCACCAGAAACAAGGCATTAAAAAACAAATTCTAAGAAACACTGAAAAAACATCTCCAGTACTCACACGGGCCGCGTCTGCAAGCCTCGAAAGCCCCGACTGCCCCACTACGGCGCGCGCAGCCTTTTCTAATCGCCTAATCAATGACGCCGGGAGCCACGCGCGGCGACGCACAGGTGGACGCCTTCACGGACGCACCACAGTCAGAATAGTTCAAAACACCCGGTTACACTACAGAAGAAAAGGTAAAAAGGAGCTGTTCACTTGAAAACTTCTGCTTGATGACGGCATCCAACCCATCCTCAGGGAAAACTCTATATTAGAAACTTTGGTCCACCTGAAAAATGTTTCTATTCACAATTTGGCCTCTTAAAGTGTGACATTGTTACAGTTTATTTGTGCCATTCATTTCTAAAGGTATCACGTGACTTTCAATTTATGAGCGATGCAACCCGGTATCACAAGATGGAACAGAGTATTTGGAGCTTTGGAGATGTAGACAGACTCATAATAAAAGGAGACTATAAAGGTCAGAGGTGAACCAGGTGACTTCCTCTTGCTGAGCAGGCCTACCACACGATTATTTCTGGGTTTTAACAGTCCAGATCAGAGGCTCAGTGCTCAGTGGCTGCCATTTTTGGCATTTTTGGTGAATTGAGTTTTTGGAGTTGAGTTACTGTTGTTAATTTATGGTAGCTCTGCAGTGGGTGTGGGCTGGAGGTAGCTGGGTGTGGAGGGGGCTCACTTAGAGGGTGACTTTATTTATAGTTATTGGTGGTGGTGGCACTTGTAATTGGGTGTTTTCAGTTGTGGTAATGGTTTTCTTTGCATTAACCTTGTTTGTTTTTCACTTATAGTATATGTCCTTCACCCCAGCCTTAGTGTGCAGCCTCACCCCTGCAGTGGCATCCTCACCTGTTACACCAATCTTAACTATGTGGTTGTAAATAAAAACTGCTGTATGGCTGTTAGACCCACACACTGACTGGCTTGTTTTGTTATTAAAGCTACCTGTAAATTCCAGGTTTTACAGTTACTCAGACATGTGTGAATGAAATAAAACCACTCAAGTATGTACAGCGGTCATTTGTGTGTAAAGTAAATGTACCTGTGTGTAGATGGTCTGTTGTGTGTGAGGGACAAACATCCAAAAGGGAATAACATCCAAAATTAGCAGCCTATTCATTTTCAAAGAATACAGCACAGGTGTCAAACATGCGGCCTGGGGGCCAGATCCGGCCCTCGAAGACCTTTAATTTGGCCCTCGGCTGATTTTCTACTAAATATTTTAATTAAATTTTCTATTAAAATATTGGTAATTTTCTGTGATGCTTAGCATATCAGCGTCTCCAGCGTCTCTGTACGTGGCCCCTCCCACCAGAGCAGCACAAATGAAGACTTGTCTCTTTCCAAACGCTCTTAAAGGACGATCGTTTTGACTGTTGACCGTGACACCCTCATCAGAAAAATGTCCAACATGAGAAAAGTGGAGCCGAGTGCAGGATTTTACAACAAAAATGGACTTATTCCTATTTGCAAACAAGTTAATGTTAAAACATTGTGCTGAAATTACATTTTTCTTAAAGTTTCAGGTTGTTCATAATATTATAATATTTTGTAAAAGAAAGAGTTCATCAATTAAAAAAGATTTCTGTAATAGATTTGTGTTTCTCTGCACAAATATTTGAACTTATTGTTATTTTTGGGGTTTATATGACATGAGTTTTCTGATCCGGCCCCTTTGGGATCAAAGTAGGTTGGATACGGCCCCCGGACCAAAATGAGTTTGACATCCCTGAAATACAGTTTAGAAGACAGCAGATAAATAAGGTCTCATCTTTTCATTTCTTTTGTGACTGCTGTGAGGAGTTGGTGCATTATTTAAATCTCATTTTTTCAAGCAGAACAATTCCACCTCAAGTACAGAAAAGGCCTGTTAAGAAACGACGCACCAGATGAGTATTTTTTCACATGTTTATTTTACTCCTTTTGAAATTGCTTGTGTTTTGCTTTAACATAAGTTGACTAAAGGTAGATACTGCGTCATCAGAATCTATTCACGTGGGTAGAAAGTAATCATTTGTCTCTTCCTCTTCTTCCTTCAGTGGGAGATGGTTGGACATCCCTGCTGGAGATGGACAGGTGGAGGTGGACCAGGATCACTTGGGTCCACACACTCCCAGCAGCACCTTCTCGTAGTGTCCCCTTGTGTCCTTCTGAAAACACAAAGCACAGGCTCAAAGTGGTCATGTCCCTGCTCGTCCGAGAGGGGCACGTGAGGATTCCAAATGCTGTATTCACTGAAAACAACATATTAACTGTAGAATAAGTTTCGCTTTTCCTTTCTCACACTGAGTCTCCTCTCCGTTTGCCTCCATCACTTCCCCTTCACAGAACAATCAGCATCCATCCCACTAATGAAACTACTGCATCGCATCAGATCTGTTGTTTTAGTGCAGGGGTTTTCCTGGTTTAGTCCTGGTTTTAGTCCTGATTTAGTCCTGGTTTAGTCTTGACTTAGTCCTGGTTTAGTCCTGGTTTTAGTCCTGATTTTAATACTGGTTTAGTCCTGGTTTAGTCCTGATTTAGTCCTGGTTTAGTCCTGATTTTAGTCCTGATTTAGTCCTGGTTTTAGTCCTGATTTTAGTCCTGACTTAGTCCTGGTTTAGGCCTGATTTTAGTCCTGACTTAGTCCTGGTTTAGGCCTGATTTTAGTCCTGGTTTAGTCCTGATTTAGTCCTGGTTTAGACCTGATTTTAGTCCTGGTTTAGTCCTGATTTTAGTCCTGGTTTAGACCTGGTTTTAGTTCTGGTTTTAGTCTTGGTTTAGTCCTGGTTTAGTCCAGGTTTTAGTCCTGGTTTAGTCTTGATTTAGTCTTGGTGTTAGTTCTTGTTTAGGCCTGGTTTAGGTCTGATTTTAGTCCTGGTTTAGTCCTGATTTTAGTCCTGGTTTAGTCCTGATTTAGTCCGGTTTAGACCTGGTTTTAGTCCTGGTTTAGTCCTGGTTTTAGTCCTGGTTTAGTTCTGGTTTAGTCCTGGTTTAGTTCTGGTTTAGTCCTGGTTTTAGTCCTGGTTTTAGTCCTGGTTTAGTCCTGGTTTAGTCCTGGTTTTAGTCCTGGTTTTAGTCCTGGTTTTAGTCCTGGTTTATTCCTGGTTTAGTCCTGATTTAGTCCTGGTTTAGTCCTGGTGTTAGTCCTGGTTTAGTCTTGGTTTAGTCCTGGTTTAGTCCTGGTTTAGTCCTGGTTTTGGTTCTGGTTTTGGTTCTGGTTTAGTCCTGGTTTAGTCCTGGTTTGTCCTCGTTTTAGTCCTGGTTTTAGTCCTGGTTTAGTCCTGGTTTAGTCCTGGTTTTAGTCCTGGTTTTAGTCCTGGTTTAGTCCTGGTTTATTCCTGGTTTAGTCCTGATTTAGTCCTGGTTTAGTCCTGGTGTTAGTCCTGGTTTAGTCTTGGTTTAGTCCTGGTTTAGTCCTGGTTTAGTCCTGGTTTTGGTTCTGGTTCTGGTTTTGGTTCTGGTTTAGTCCTGGTTTAGTCCTGGTTTAGTCCTGGTTTGTCCTGGTTTTGGTTCTGGTTTAGTCCTGGTTTAGTTCTGGTTTAGTCCTGGTTTAGTCTTGGTTTAGTCTTGGTTTAGTCTTGGTTTAGTCCTGGTGTTAGTCCTGGTTTAGTCTTGGTTTAGTCCTGGTTAGTCCTGGTTTTGGTTCTGGTTTTGGTTCTGGTTTAGTCCTGGTTTAGTCCTGGTTTAGTCCTGGTTTGTCCTGGTTTTGGTTCTGGTTTAGTCCTGGTTTAGTCTTGGTTTAGTCCTGGTTTAGAGGAGAGGCACAGAATCTTACAGTTAACCATAAGGAGGGTTTGGGAAGGAGAAGATCACCGCTAGATGACTCAAACATGCCTGGATGACATCTTAAACCTTCAGGCTTGTTTTTGATGAGGGAAGAATTTTATAACATGGCAGAAAGCTCCAAGTTTAGAGTTTATGTTGGGGTGAGGGCAGTTACCATAATGTCCTCCTGCAGATGGCGGTCATACATGGAGTAGTATTCCTCCACGATCTTCCTCAGGTCCACCTCAGAGCGGCTCACCAGCACTCGGATCAGAGACTTCTCACATGTGCCATGGCCCTGTCAGGAGAAACATCTCACTTTAGCAGAAGGCTACATATGAAAAGAGGACAAGAGGAGATGAGAAGATCAGAGACAGAAGACTAGAGAGGAGAGAGCAGAGAGCAGTGTCACCTTCATGGCCTCGTGCAGTTTCTCAGCGAAGAAAGCCGGAGTGTTCCAGCACACTTTGACTGTAACACACAGATCCACAAGATCAGGATTATTCATGAACGAGTGAAACTGACAGACAGAAGAGTGGACAGAAACAGGAGGGAGAGGAGTCTGACCGATGTCGATGAGGCAGTCCTCGATGTCCCCCCTGAGCTCGCACTTCAGGGCCTTGGGCAGGCACCGGTCACTCACAGCGGCGTATTCCTGGAACGCTGAAAGAACACATTCATTTGATTTCAAAACTACACTTACAAATGAAAGTGTCTGCCTCAGGTCCACTCAAACTGTTCTTGAGATAGACAGACATAAACTCTCAAAGATCACAAGTCTCTCAGTGTCATTTGTCCCAGATGTCAGACCTGCTGGACAGGTCCCAGGTCTCATCCTTCAGGTCTATGGGGACACATGAATCACAAAGGACACATCTGAATCACTGGCCCCTCCACGTCCACACAAAGTCTATGTCTGGAGCCATGAGGTACTCCCTGAGCAGGTCCTCCCTTCAGCTACGCTTGCCCAAAGAAGGTACTCACTCTTGGAGAACTGTTAAACCCAGAGGAGGTACTCACTCTTGGAGAACTGTTAAACCCAGAGGAGGTACTCACTCTTGGAGAGCTGTTAAACCCAGAGGAGGTACTCACTCTTGGAGAACTGTTAAACCCAGAGGAGGTACTCACTCTTGGAGAACTGTTAAACCCAGAGGAGGTACTCACTCTTGGAGAACTGTTAAACCCAAAGAAGGTACTCACTCTTGGAGAGCTGTTAATCCCAGAGGAGGTACTCACTCTTGGAGAGCTGTTAATCCCAGAGGAGGTACTCACTCTTGGAGAGCTGTTAATCCCAGAGGAGGTACTCACTCTTGGAGAACTGTTAAACCCAGAGGAGGTACTCACTCTTGGAGAGCTGTTAAACCCAGAAGAGGTACTCATTCTTGGAGAGCTGTTTAACCCAGAGGAGGTACTCACTCTTGGCGAGCTGGGCTTTACTGCGAGTGGTCAGAATCTCGATGAAGGTGTCCACATCGGTCCCTCTCCGGTTCTCTCCTGACTCAAACAGAGTCTGCAGGACACAGACACAGATGTTTGGAGGCAAATGTTCACAATTTGAGCTACTTAGATGAGTTCTGAGAGCTCAAATAGAATTATAATCATTTGTAATGTGTAAACTGATTAGACTGTGCAGTTACCTCTGCGTCCTTCTTGGCCAGCTGCATGTCCACCGCTTTACTGGTGCTTCTGCTGGACTTATACAGAGCCAGGAGGGCCTTCTCAAAGTCCCCTTTGGCCTCTTTCTTCAACACCTCCTCCAGCTCATGACGGTACTCTGCACACAGCACACAACAGGAGTAAAACAAGAATAAACCAGGACTAAACCAGGATTAAACTGAAACTAAACAAGGCCCAAACCAGAACTGAAACAAGACAAAACCAGGGCTAAACCAGGACTGAACTGAAACTAAACCATCAGACTCAAAGACGCTTTACAAACAAATAAAAAGTGACACAATAGAAAACAGGGAAATCGTGGAGGGAATGCCAGGTTGAACAGGTGAGTTTTTAGTAGTGATCTGAAGTGCTGCAGTGAGTCCGAGTTCCTGATGGATTGTGGGAGTGAGATCCAGAGGGAGGGGGCGGCGGCGGCAGTGGCGAAGGTTTGGTTCCCCAAGGTCCGGTGCTTTGTCCTGATGAGGGGAGTGAGGAGGTTGGTGTCGGCCGATCTGAGGCAGCGTGTGGGACAGTCCAGACGAATGGGTCTGTGAGATGGAGGGACCAGGTTATGGTAGGACTTGTAGGTGATGAAGAGAACCTTGTGTTGAATGTGATATTGTACAGGGAGCCAGTGGAGCTGCTTAAGGACAGGATTGATGTGGTCTCTGGAGCGGAGGTGAGGAGGCGGGCGACAGAGTTTTGGATGTACTGCAGTTTTTGGAGGTGGGTGGAGGGGAGAGCATACAGAAGGCTGTTACAATAGTTGAGTCTGGAGGAGAGAAAGGCATGAATGAGGATTTCTGTTGTGGGCTGAGAGGGGGAGGGGCGGAGAAGGTGGAAAAAAGATGTTTTGGTGATGTGGATGATGTGGGTTCTGAATGAGAGGGTAGGGTCCATGATGATGTCAAGATTGTGTACTCATGGAGAGGGGGTAACGGTGTGACCATTGATGAAGAGGAAGATGTTCTGAGCAGTGGGGAGGAGAGCAGTTCTGTTTGAGGAACAAGTTTGAGGAAGTTGTGGTCCGACAGGCAGTTCATAATGGTGAAGAGAATGACTGGGGAGATGGATCTGGTAAACCTGAGTGTCATCAGCGTATCAGTGGAAATTTAGTCCATAGTGGTGAATGATGTGGCCGAGAGGAAGCATGCAGATGATGAAGAGGAGTGGGACGAGCACCAAACCTTGGGGAACACCAGTGGTGACAGAGGAGGAGTGGGATTTGGAGTTGTTTATGGAGACGTAGTGGTGACGGTCAGAGAGGTAGGAGGAGAACCAGGAGAGTGCAGTGCGGGAGATGCAGATACGCTGTAGACGGTGGAGGAGGACGGTGCAGTCGATGGTGTTGGACGTGGCACTGAGGTTGAGGAGGAGGAGAATCGAGACGGAACCGAAGTCTGCAGCAAGGAGGAGGTTGATGACTTTTAGGAGGGATGTTTCAGTGCTGTGATGGGGGTGGAAACCAATTTGAAATAATTCAGAAAGCTGAAAGCTGAGGAGGTATTGTTGGAGTTGGGTAATGATGGCTCGTTCTGTTATTTTTGGAGAAGAGAGGAAGATTGGAGATGGGTCTAAAGTTGTCCAGGTTGTTAGGGTCCAGGCCGGGTTTTTTCAGAAGGGGTGTGATTGTGGCTAGTTTAACTGCAGGAGGGACAGTGCCAAAGCTGAGGACTAGACCAGGACTAAACAAAATCTTAACCAGGTCTAACCCAGGTCCACACACATGACTCACACAGGGTGGAATTCACACAAACTCCTGTCATGTTCTTCTCCTGCCTCATACTTTAGTGTTCCCAGTTGAAACTGACAGGTCTGTTTTAAATGCTCTTAAATTAGCACAAAAAAACATTTTTCACCACCACATTTTTATTCGACATTCTTTAGCTGTGAGCAATGTCTCAAAATAGTGTTTAACATGAATTTATAGAATTAAACATAAAATAACGACAGTGAAAAAACAAATAGGCACTGAAAATGTATTAGAAAATGAACATGTAATGTACAAAATAAATGGAAAACCAAAGACCAAACTCAACATGAAGTCGCGCACGTGTGTGTGTGTGTGTGTGTGTGTGTGTGTGTGTGTGTGTGTGTGTGTGTGTGCGTGTGTGTGTGTGTGTGGGTGTCTCC